AGCACGGGAAACGCCAGGCCATGCTGCTAGTACACACATATATATATATATATATATATATATATATATATATATATATATATATAAAATAATAAAAGCTCTAAATTGTTGAGGCCCTCTATATCAGAATCAACCGACACTCAACAAATTTTATTATGAATATAGTAACAACATATTAAAGTGCATACAACATTTATATACTAATGCCATTTTACATTTCTACAAATTCCCAGTCAGCTCCCTTACATTGAAATGCTTGTTTTGTAAAAATTCAATGACTACAACAGATAAATAAAGAATTCATTTTGAAAATTCCCTGAAGGTTGCCTATATCAACAATCAACTAATAAAGGCCAAAAGAGCACAATGGCCTGAAATATTGTGATATTAACAACAAAAATGAATGTGTGTAAATAATGATAACTCGTCCTCCCAGAAGTCCAGATAGAAATCAGTGTCACCATTTACGAAGGGGCAATTGAACTCCTGCCAGAATCATTACAGTCCAACTTATAAAGGTGACATGAAAACGTCATGATTATGAGCTGATTTCTGTTCAGTCGAAGAACTGAACACCTTAGCAATATGGTCCTTTGAACAGGAGTAGAGGTTTATCCCTTGTTTCCTGTTTAGGATTGGGTTTCCGGTTCCTAATGAAGTCAACTTCGACACTATACTTCTAATGTCTCCGACTGAACTTAGAAATGTTACAGTGATCCCTTGTTTATCAAGGTCGATTGGTTCTGAGACCGTCCGTGATAACTGAATTTCTGCGAAGTAGGGACACCATACTTGCAGTATTTATTTAACGTATATTTGAACTTTTAAAACCTTCCCTGTACTGTTAACAACCCACCCATTACAGCAGTACTCTATTAATAACAAGGACAACCGTTAAGCAATAACACTTTAGATTAAAAAAAAAAAAATATTGTTACTGTATTCAACACGAAAGAAGTTGAAGTAGAATTTGAATTGTGATGAATTTGCTGTGCAGTAGAAATGATGATGATGATGACTTCTACTGTGAAGCCGATAATTGTATTTTATGTCTCTTCAGACGGCGGTGCCCTTTCTATTGCTATTTTATGCTTGTTTTGTTGTTCCAAGACCAGGAAATAATATTTATTATTAATATTTTAATGGGTTTAATGAAAAATTATAGGTGTTCATATATCGCGATTTTTCTAGAATTTTCCAGAAACTTCGCAATATATTTTCCATATATATTTTAAAAATCCGTGAAGTCGTGAATCTGCGATAGTAGAACCGTGTATTAGTGAGGGATTACTGTATTTACTAATTAAGTCTTATCTGCTTGAAGTTATTAAGCAAATCATATAAGCTTCAATAATTCAAATTTGGTTTGAAAAAAATATGTCAAATTTTAAACAGTCAATTTTGATGTCAAAATAAAGCCCGAGTTAAAATTTTAGGTAGTATCAATGTTTTATTAACGTTATTGAAGTTATTTGATGTATTCTAAAAAAACTGCCATCTGAAGTTATTAGGCAAAACCAAATAATCATTTTTTACTTCAATAAAAAAAAAAAATAATAAAATCATCACAAATTGATCAACACCTATAATAGAACAAATAACAAACACATATGACAAATCTTTGAATCATTTACATTTTAATATAGTGACCCTTCTTCTTAATAACAGCCAGTAATCTATTATCCATTGATTTTATTAATTTTTGTTTTTACTTCAGCAGGTTTAATTTCCAACATGGGAATTTTAATTGCTTTCCATAGGTTTGCTTTGCTGTTATATTGTTTGGCCACCTTCATATAATTTCATTTTCACAATTGACCATAGTTTTTTGATTGGATTCAAATCAGGACTTGATGGTGGCCATCTCATTATCTTCTCTCCTGTAAATCTTTTATGCTCAAAGAATACACAGGTATGCTTAGATACATGAAAAGGGGCAATGGCATGCATAAATACAAACTTCACTTTGAAACTGTGAGCTTGGGACTTGTACCATGCAATGAAAGTCTTGTTCATAAAAATCGCAATAGTTAGCACGGTTCAATTTAACTCCTTCATCAACTTTGAGTGGTCCAATAATGGTTTGGTCGACAATTCCAGCCCATATCATAACACTACCACCTCTTTGTTGCCTTCTTTAAGCCACAGGCACATCTGAATTGGATAAAATCCATCCATTGGCCCATCCATCAGGTCCATCAAATGTCACTTGAGATTTCTTCATGAAAATTACTTTAGAAAAGTCAATTTTCATGTATTTTTTGGCCCAATTTTGATGCTTTAAAATATTAGTGAGAGGAGGTTGCTTATAAGTTTTTTTTACAGATCCCAATTCATAAAGTATTCTACAGGTTTTGTCCTTCTTGACTCCCTCAATTCCAGCCTTTTCAAAGATCTGAGCCCTGGTCAAAAACGGTTGTTTTACTATAACTCGCATTAGTTGATGTTCATCTTGAAGGAGCAAGTTCTTAAAGTCTTTTCCTTTGCTTCAAGTTCTCAACTTATATTTTCAACAGCCTTCTTTATCGTTTAATGATCTCTGCAAAACTCCTTTGATATTTCCAATGTAAACATTCCCTCATTCAATAACTTTGTTATTTTCTGTTTTTCAGAAATTGTTAGATCCTTCTCTTTATCCATGTTTCAACATATGGACAAAAGGAAAAAAATAGTTTTTATTAGATTTCAGAGGTCTTGAGCTAATATTAGTTTAATTTGCATTCTAACTTCAGTCAATCCATTTTCATAATTTCCAAATATCTCAAAAATAACCATTAAAAATGGCAGAAAATTTAATTAAATATTTTACTAAGGGTGAAAATGGATGAGTTTAAATCTGACAAATATTGGTTCAGAACTTTTTGAGTTACTGAGGTTTATTTGATTTGCATAATAACTTCAGACAGGCTGTAGAGTTATCTCTTGTTATCTTTTCTGCATAACCCCCAAGAACTTCACATCTTATCCCTGCTTATGCTAATACAGCAATAGCACACAGTAATCTTCTGACTTGAGTGGCTCCTGGGACTTGTATTGGGTGAACATTAGTGTGTATATATATATGATTTGCAAAATTCCATTATCTTCCTTTGATTTTAGATAATTTGTACACAGTTTTGAGCTGTGCATTGGATCATTATCTTATTGCAAAACAAAATTTTGTCGAAATTATGTGGCCACCAGAAGAAATTGCATGTCTCTGTAGTATTGAATGGTACTCTTCCTTTCATATAATGCCTTTAATTTGAACAAAGTTTCCAGCAATTTCATTTCCAAAACATCCTCAAACCATTACACCACCAGGCTTAACAATTGGCACAATGCTCAAATTTGAACTAATCACTCCATAGTACCATTTACCAATCTTGTAAAGTTCAATGCTTCTGCTGTTGTCTGTTGTGCCCATTTTAGTCTTTTCAACTTATTTTCCGTTTTTAATAGAGCTTTCTTAACTGATTTACATCCTTTAAGCCCAACAGAAAGAACTTAGAGAAACAATTCAGGGTGGTCCCAAATTTTTGATCTGCAGTGTATATATGTGTATATCCCTCAACAGTAGCATGACTTAGAGTTTCATGCACAACACAATCTATATACGACAGCAAAAAAAATTATTTAGTATTAAAAATCTATATAGATTTTTAATATTAAATAATTCTTTTTTTTATGTAGTTTTAGGTCTATTTTAATAATTTTTCAATAAATACCATTAATCCCAGTTTATTTTTAAAATAAAATAATCCTATTTATCTTATATGAAAATTATAAACCTCATCTATTTTAAATGCAATATATATTTTTAAAAAACAAAAAGTAACTGTAATCCCTGTACAATATATGGATTGCGCCAGCATTGCGTTAAATAAATATTTTTATAAAAATTTAAATTATGTAATGGTCAGTGTCTACAGTACCTGAAAATTGCTTTGTGCATGAAACTCTGACTTGTGATGCTGGTGAGGAATAATATGTATATTTATTAATATATATACTTAATAGCTCTGTTATATTACATCGAGCACTATTTTATTAACACCAACATTCAATGTGCGATCTTATACTATATAGATAAAATAGTATCTATATAGATTTTTAATATTAAATAATTTTATTTTTGCTGTTAAAAACAGCAAAAATAATATACTCTTGATATATATATATATATATATATATATATATATATATATATATAACTAATGTGATAACTTATCCTGCTGGATACTGATCTGCATTTGATCTTTAACTCATAATAATAATAATGGACTCTCTCGCCGGTTTCGACTTATGAAGATCTGACAACTTAATTGATTCAGTTATGAAATTTTGTGCGATAATCTTAAGGGGCACTTAAGACCCATTAGTGATTTACAAAGGAGGCTGCATATGGAGCAAGAGTAAGGATTGTGGGAAGAGATCACTGTTAGATTGGCTGACCTTTTAGATCTTGCTCTCCCTTCTTGAAGGCAATTCAGACAAGCCGATTGAAAACTGCTGAGTCCACTAAAACACATTAATCTCCATTCTACCCGCTCCAAGGCTAAGCGCTTGAGGGTGTTATAAGGTATATTGACAGCTGACAAGTCTTTAACTCATATATATATATTCTTCATAAAATGATTGGTTTCATTTAACAATTTCATTACTTGAGGTCAATTTTCTTAAGAAAAATTATTTCATTAAATAAAAAAGAAATAAAAATTAACCTCTGTTTCTTTTATAGTCCCAAGAACTTCACTTCTTGCCCCTTTTTCATGCTCATATATTACCACACACTGACCCTCTATCTTGAGTGGCTCTTGGGCCTTGTATTGGGTGAACATAAAAAAAAAAAGACTGGGGAATTCAGTTTAAAGGAGAGGAGAGTTTTGTAGGCAATGTCAATGCATTCTCAAATCAGTCTCTTGTTATAAAAAGGAAATAACTCACCATACAGCCGATTTTAGGATGTTCCGAACACTCGTCTCAGGACTTAGAATTTCATTTGTTGATTTTTGCCAGTATCATTCATATCCATCTGCAAGGACATCAAGACAGCGCCTACATAATCCTTTAGGGGTATTGGCCGTGGATCGGCGGCATCGAGCACAAGGATGCTTTTCAGAAGGTAAGATAATCAATGTAAAGTTCTCGTCAGATGTACTTCCATCTGAAAATCAAAAAAATGACACATAAAGAATAATAACTGTAACTAAAAGAGGTTAAGATTGTAGAGTTCAGGGAAGCATCCACACGGGATCCTGTTCTACAAAACAGAAGCTCTTAGGGAAAAGCCTAGTGGAACTTTTTCCTTTCAGTTGGAATATGAGGGAAATGAAGGTGATTTGACTCCATGGACATAGCATGGCAGGTTATTGTTGTAACGGTCTGAACTTTTATTGTTCTCTTGGAGCCTTGCATGGCAGCAGTCATTGTCACTAAGAGTATTTGTGGCTGTCATTGGTGATGGCAAACAGGAACTTACTTCCTCTTGCTACTTTAGATGCTATCATTGCAGTATATATATGTGTGTGTGTATATATATATATATATATATATATATATATATATATATATATATATATGTGTGTGTGTGTGTGTGTGTGTGTGTATATATATATATATATATATGTGTGTGTGTGTGTGTATATATATATATATATGTGTGTGTGTGTGTGTGTGTATATATATATATATATATATATATGTATGTATATATATATTTTAAATATGTGGTGCAGTTCAATTTATATTACAATGACTGATTCATACAAAAAACGGATTAGTAAATTTAATGATATAAAATGGCGAAATCTCTTCGCAAACAAAATTTTAAAGGTGCATTACTCTACAAATCACTTGATTAATGTTATGATCCTTGTTTTTAAAAATTATAAACTGTTGTTCCCAGGTCCACCCTGATCTGGGGTGGTAGCACTTGCTAGGGTCTCAGCTATGGGCAAATAGTTAACCCCTAAACCAGGGTCAGAACACTATGAAAGTGTAAAAATAGGTTTTATTACCAGTAATACTTTTTGGGAAAAAATATTACCAGAAATACTTTTTTGAAAGAAAAATATTACCAGCAATAAAACCTTGTTGGCATCAAATAACCCATTAAGGTTGATAAGCCATAAAACCAACTCAACCAAACCAAACCAAACCTAATAACTACATCACCACAAACAAAAGATAAAAGAAAATAAATTTCCCCTAAATTTGTTAAATTTAAGCTAAATCATCCCCCCCTCATCATCATCACTTACCTTTGAGATATACAGAACATTTTGCTGCTGTTATCTCTGCATCATCTATAACTGAGTCAGGTTTGTGGCTCGTCAAATTAACTTGTGAAGCTTGCAGAATTTCAACCAATGGAGAATTAATCGACTGATCAGTGGGTTGCAGCATCTAAAAAAATGAATAAGTATATATGTAAACAATTGTTTGTATCTATTTACGTATTAACAGTGCTAGCTCTTAGCCCATTAACTGGCTTATAACTTTCAGTAACTCCAAAACCAAACTAGTAACTTTTAATTATCAATGAGCAGGCCTCGAATTCTTTTCAGCCATGATGAATGGTTGCATTTTGAAAGAGACTGTGTCTTGAGCATCTATTGGGACTCAAGTTCATCCTAGGCCACAAGTAGAAATCATATATACGACCCATCACTAAAAGGTACCAGTAATTAAAATTCATTGGAACAGATCCAGAAATTTCTTACTGACCTGACTGACCATGTCTTTGAGCATGTAGTACTCACCACACTTGGCTGACTAAAGGTTGGTGAACCTATTTAACCAATATTAGATTCTGAATTCAGAATTTTTCCATCTTCTAGACTGGTTACCACTCAAAGCCATAGGAATCAGTCTGTCCTGCTATTTATCTGTAGGTAGAAGAGATGGATTTATACTTTTCCTAAGGGTATTTTTGCATGTTGTAGTAAAGCAACGACTCAACCGACAGTAGCAACTGCAATAGATCTCTTCTATTTCTCAACCAGAGGCCACCCTTGTAGCCAAATCGCAGTTCAAATGACTGCCCATTGTAAAAGTCCAATAAAGTAGAAACCGACAAAATAGTGTCAAACGTCCAACCTTCTCACGAGCAAAAAACAAAGTCCCCAGAAACAAAAATGTGCCTGCTTTATACAGCCAAGGACTGACCATAATTTGCATGTGAATGATGAGACAACGAGATTTCGCGTTAACTGTCCGAGACCGCCTGGCATAAAACATGGGCGCCGCCATTTTGGTTCTTTTTACCATTGAGCAGCTGGAGTTTGCACGATGCACAGATTCGTGGGTGTTTCCGAGGTAAGCCATTTTCACAATTTTCCCCACATGAATGTAACAAACTAGACTGGAATTCAAACTCAGATCTCCAATTCCTCAACAATCCAATCAGGGAGAACTGGTTCGTAACTCTCAATACCTCCAAAACCAAGCTCGTAATATTTCATCATCACCAAGCAGTGTCTGAATTTTCAATTTACAGTTGAGCTGGAGAGATGTAACCATAAATTCTATGCTAACAGTTTTTTTCTTGCACTTCACGCTTCAGCCAACTTCAAAAATTTAAATGCAATGTCAATTGCTATCTACTGCCCTCCTGATTACTCTTTCCTCTTCCCGCTCATTATTAATGTTTGTAGTCCCTTGTGTCTTAGTGGCTTTACTGCCTTGCATGAGGTGATACTGACTGATTAAAAAAGAAAAAAAGAAACAGTGGTATCATCAGCATAAATATATAATTGGGAACTGATGACATCAGAAAGATTGTTGATGAAGATAAGAAACATTGTCAGCCCAAGGTTAGAAGCTTAGGAGACACCTGCATTAATGGGAAATGATCTAGAAGTGTGACCATTCAACATGACTTTCATTACATGATTTGTTAAGAATGATTGGATTAAGCTAAATATTTGGCTTAAGACACCAGAACCCTTGAGCTTTTGAATAAAGCCAGCATGTCAAACTCTGTCAAATACCTTCGAGATATCTAAAGACACAATCTGAGAACCTGTCATTCTTATCTAAAGCTTGATAAACAAATTCATTAATAACCATTAACACATTGGCAGTTAACCTAGAGAAATGAAAGCCATATTGTTTATCTGAAAGAAGGCCGTGTGATTTGAGATGCTTAATCAATTAGAAATTGTTTAGAGTTTAAGGGGTCTCCCCAAAGCAATGTTAGCAGTGCAAATCCTCTTTAATCAAAGGGATTAATCATTTGGGTAGTGTAATAGTGTGGCAAATCAAATTTGCAATTCCTAAGATGTGTTCATTTTTGCACTAATACTCTTGGGAAAAGCACAAATCCAGCTCTTCTCCTTCCAGTCCAGCTACGAGTTAAATAGTAGAGTAGACTGGGCTTGCTAGCCTTAGTTAGCAGTTACTCTAGGACTACTCTGAAAATAAACTGTGGAGAAAAGAAACAAAACCTAGTAAGTCATAGTAATTCACATTAAAATCAAAAAAAGGAAATCTGTGGATAACCATATTACAAACTGAAGGGACATGGCATTAAAAAAAAAAAAAAAATTAAAAAACAAAACAAAACAAAATGACAGATAAAAAAATTAGAAATTTGAACCTTTGTACCAGCAATCCCCCCGCCCACAAAAAAACAGAGTATCAAAAGATGGTTTTTCCCTTTTTTGTTCTTGAGAATTTACACCAAAAATATGAAACACTATTAGATTGTATATTTACAAGAATAATTTTATATTTACAGCATTCTAAAAACTAATACAATGCAATATTTATCATTTACCAATTTATAAACAATTTTTATCTATAAATTTATAATCATTTACTAAATTATTAAAATATATCAACCAACTAAAAGGAAATCCTTATTATTTACCATTTTAGAAAGTTCAAATCAGTTGGCAATTAGCTGATATTTTGCCAACCATTCCAATAAACAATAAATAGTTTATTATTTTTGTTTACAATTGTCAAGAATTATTTAAAGAAAATATATTAATTCACTTTCCTATATTTATGTTTCATTACAATTATAATCATTGCTTTTTAAAACAATAAATATTACTGAAAGAGTGAAGGTAGTTACAATAATAGTGGTGTCAAGGGAAAAACTCCTTTTGACACACTGTTTTTTTTTGAGGGCACAACTGTCTATGTTTGCCAAAAAATGGAAAAAAGTTGATACCCACCTTCAGGTTAGAATGAAGATTGCCAGTTGCCCATATGATAGCATCAAATGAGGTTGGACTCTCAGGCCCAATGACTTCATTAAATTTCTCTTTGATGTTTAAAATTGGTTGCATGTCTTGGAAATTGACTAAGTTGAGCCATTGGGGATCAATTTTAAAATCAGGGATCATAAATACACTCTCAACACCTGTAGAGAAAGCAAAACCACAAAAATTATTAACAAATACATATTTTCAAAAACAATTTAATAACTCAGAATAGGATTGGTTGGAAGTAAGATTATTAACAGAAAAAAAAAGGAACTGCTTTAAAAATACAGATAAATATAAGATAAATAATTATTATTGTTAAGTGAACACCAAATGTGTATTCACTTTTATATAGGTGCCTCCACTAATTTCCGATACCTAAAGTTTAAAATGAATTCTTATAAATGTAAAAGCTTTCTTGAAGTTTTCATTTGAGCTTTAATTGAAAGCTAAAGGATTAAATTGACTATTTCCAGTAGGCAAAATACTTCGGTGTATTTCAAACAGAAATAATATTGATTGGAATCAATTTTTAAAATTTTTTTCCAAAATAGCTGATTAGTGTCCTTTTTTAGTCGTCTTTCATTGTATTAATTCTCTGTATTAAAAAAATCTCCCAAAAATATATTTTTCTGAAACTGAGGAATATTAACTGATTTAAAAAAAATATTATTTAAGTTTAAAATAACACAGAGATGTATTATTAAAACAAAACAGTAGCTGTGTTTTTTTAACCAATATTGCCAAGTTTACATAATTGACAATGTGATAACAAGTCATGTCATAATTGTTGTTCTACAGAGACTTTATCGGTAAAACATAATTTAAGAAAATGATGTAAGCGCCTTTTTTTTAATAAAATTTTTAAGTACTCAATCATCTTAAAAATGTTCAAAAGTATTCTCTGTAATCTAATTTTAAGAATGTTGACTTTAAATTTACTGTAGTCATCACTCTTATTTTCTGATTATGTCATGTATGGTCAACCATACTTTCAATGTTACATATTTTGTATACATAAAAAAAATTAAAAATTATTTTAAAAACCTTGGAGCAAAATGATTTTCATTAAGCTTTTCAATTTTTGATTAGTAAATATAGTTTTCACTTAATAACGATATCACTTAACCAGATGAAAGTAATGCTAAATTTTAAAAGATATTATAAATTATTATAATTAAAATAAAAAACAAAAATGAAAACAATTCTTGTACAAATTCATTATTTATCAAAAAAATTATTTTCTTAAGACAATTGTGTCGTTAATAATTCTTATTTATAAAAGCAATTAAAAGCTTTTCTAATTAAATTATGTCATAATTTTATTGCATTTTTTATTTTATAGTTTGGAGCAGATTTTCAGTAAGTGTTTAGTTTGAAAAAACAAAATTGATGATTTACATTCTCCAAGGAGATCTGCTTTTAACTAATAAAAAAACATTTTTGGCTGAAAATTTAATTTCTTGAAATTAAGTGAAGGGTAATATATATATATATATATATATATATATATAAATTTTTTCCCAAGATTTTCTAAAAAAAAATTTGAAAAATAATTTAAACCATTTGTGAATAAGTCCTGAAACTTTCATTAAAATCTGATAATTATTTGATTTTTACAAGAATTTCCAAATCAATGTATTTTTCACTGGCAAAAAAGTGCTAAAAAAAAAAAAAAAAAAAAAAAAAAATTGTAAAAAAAATTACATCAGCCACTAATGCAAAAAAAAAAAAAAAAAAAAAAAAAAGATTAAAAAATTAATAAAATAAAAAATATTTTAAGTTTTTCTTTTTAATAATAAACATTTTGATGATAAAACTTAGTTTTTATTAAGTTTGGGGCCTTTTTTCATCATGCTATGCTGTTTTTTCAGCAAAATGTGGAGACACCTACTTTTACATGTGAGAATAGTTTTTAGGACTATCACAATCTTTCATGATAATAAATGGATCAAATTGATAGAAACGCATACAATTTTACTATTTGGAATGTATTGCAAATAATTTTTACCATAGGAATGCCTTTTAAATGATTGCTACCATTAGAAATGTATTATTTATACTATTTATATTCGGGCTATTGTTCTCATTTTTGTTGTCGTTATCACATATGTTTTGGCTGTAGTGCCCTCCGGCCTTCGTTAGGTGTATATCAATCTGGGTAACTGAGAGGGAATTCTGAGGTGAAGACTTTATTTAATCTGCTGTTCTTGTTTCACTGCTCATGTCAAGGGATATGGTCTAGTTCTTATTTTTCAGTTATTAGCACACACACATATATATATATGTAAGCTTCATTAAATATGATAGACAAGGTGCTTTAAGTTTTTTTTCATAATTTCTTATGACCTTATGTTTTTCTTTTCTGTAGATAAATTAAAATTTAGACCATTGAGTGGAGGTGTGCTGCCAAAGCTTTGGCAGACATTTGGGCGATATTATTTTTCACTTATAATTGCCATGACTTAAATAACATGATCCAATAGAGAAATAAATACATTTTCACCAATAACACTGATTTATTTACTTCTAACTTTGATCAGTCTTAATGAAACTCTCTCTCTCATATATATATATATATATATATATATGTATATATATATATATAGATAATAAAAAGGCTTATATCCTTACTCTGTCCTGGACATTGAGTTCTATCTGGATTCTATCCTCTCGGAATTTTTTATTCAAAAAATATACATATATGTGTATGCACCTATGTATATACATCTATATATTTTGCATATGTATGTGTATATTTACCACTAATATTATATATATATATATATATATATGCACACACTGGTATGAACATTGAGAATGCCATGAACCAAACATATGATAAATGTGGATATTTCAAGGACAATAAGAACTACAAAGGAACTAGATATGAAAGAATGAAAAACAGCTGAAAACCATAGAAAAAAATCATGAGAAAAGAAGGCTTGGAGAATTTAACATACATAGGAATCACTGGAGGCAAAAGAAATAAGAGAAACAGAGCTTAATCTACTTGACAAGTTTGAGTAAATGAATGACAAAAAAAGTAACACAAAGGAATGTTGTAAAGGTACAAAGATTTACTTTAAGCAACAAAATGCAGGAAGTTGTGGCAAGCCATAATCAATGACATTGAGATGGGCAAAATGTAGACTGAAACAGTAGGTGTAAATACTTCACTTACCTTCATATTCAAAAGGCTTTGGCATATGTTCAAAGAGTTCCTCAGCAAAATGTGGAAGGATGGGGGCAATGTAGTAGAGAATGGTGTGGAGTATATGATATTGGACAGTCTGGCAAGAACGGCGATAGAAACCATTATGGCCATCGCAGTAACACCTGCAAGAAATAAGAGCAGTCATTTGGATGCATCTCTGCACATTAGGCTGATCTGTATTATATGCAAGAAGAAAATCTAATGGTACATGCAATAAACTGGAAATGCATATGTCTACTGACTAAAATTTTAAGAAGTCATTATCATTCCAAGAGATGTTCAGACTGTTGAACTCATTGTTTGTGTTGCTTTTGATGTTACCACAATGTTTCAGTCAATCCATTCTATGTCTACCTTCTATAATTTTGAGAAGATTCATTATCATTTCAAGAGTTCTTCAGATTATTGAACTCATTCTTTGTATTGCTTTTGTTGTTACCACAATGTTTCAGTCAATCCATTCTATGCCTACCTTCTATCATTTTGAGAAAAGTCATTATCATTCCAAGAGTTCTTCAGATTATTGAACTCATTCTTTGTATTGCTTTTGTTGTTACCACAATGTTTCAGTCAATCCATTGTCTACCTTGTGAGTTCAAACCTTACTGGCAGCTGATACATTATGAATTGGAAAATAATGTATGCTAAATGATTGTAGGATGTAAACCAATAAGAGTCTTGTAAAAGATGCATAGATAAACTATAGAAAAATTAGTAATGAAAATGCTTTATAAAAGAAATCTAAACAAGATTATTTCATTACTAGTGTGCTTTTTGCCTTTTTTTTTACTGGGGAAAAAAATGTAATCAAAATTAGAGTAACCACATGCTAGCAAATCTAGTAGTATATTCAATGCATTTCTTTTCCCTGAGAGGACCAATTTGTCATAAATCTTTATATTATCACCTAAAATTTAGTACATCATTTACTGGTAATAAACCTTGGATGATAGTATTTTTGTATGTATTAATAATAGATTAAATGACTTGCCTGTCCTTAATGATTGTGCTGTAGAAACTTGAAACATCAGAATTGATAAAACTCTCAATGATGGAGGTCATTTTATTGTATCTATGAGATGCATATAGTTCTGAGAGCTGCAAAGAGAGATCAAATAATATTATGACACACAATTTGAGTTGATGATTTGTTTTTTTTATGACTTATCAACCCTTTTTGGGTTATTTAAAGCTAAAATATATTTTGGATTTTTTTAAAAATAAATTCACCCCAGGCAAGATGATAATGTCACTAAGATGCAAGGGTCAACTGGGACTAAAAGAGAGTGAGAAGACTTTAGAAGGAACTGGAAACCCAATCCTAAACAGGAAACAAGGGAAGAGTGTTACTCCTATTGTAAGAATTCTTTTTTTTTTTGGTGAGTGAATATTACATTAAAAATTTATTGGAGATAACAATAGTTTTTCCAGATACAAGTTGTTATGGTCCGGTTCCTTGTACCACGGTGATAGTCCAAGGTAAAACCAATAAAGAAGAACGCGAACACAGGTATGGAATAACACAGATATATTACAAACAGGAATATATACAGAGAAGTAGAAATGTTAGTATGAACAATCAGGTTCAGTAGAGAGAAACAATGTAGTCTCGACCAGTATCACTATTCCAATGTCTTGCAGTAATTGTCTGAACGTGACTCCGTTTCAGACTGCCTCTGACTCAACTTGAACTACTGACTCCTTGCCTACTCCTGAGGTACAGTATTTATTAAGTATGGAATAGTCCATTATTATTATTATGGGTAAGATCCCATAACACAAGTCCTACTATTTAACCCATAGCTGAGAGGGGAAGAAATGGATTCATGTTTCTCAAGGGCATTTGGATGTAAGTGAATGTAAGGAACTCGGATCTTTAATTTCTCATTCCGAGCCTCTATCCATTACACCACCCACACACCTCATATAAGGATTATTACTTATTAAAAAAAAAAAAATTTGCTCTTTAGATGACTTATAAAATGTTGACATTCCACACTACTTTAAACAAAAGTTTAGGAAGAAAGTCCCCACCAATACTGGAAAAAGCAATAATAATTAGTGGACTTGAAAAACCTATTTTCCTGAAAAATTGTTTTAATAAATTTTACTAGCAGCATGGCCCGGCGTTGCCTGTGCTTGATTCAAAAATCGTGCGACTCATACAGCAATCGCTATCACTTGACTTAAAATATTTTTGCCCTTCCTTGCCTTTAAAGGAGTGCCCTTTGCCGTGCTGATGTTGCTACATGCCTTACTTCTTGCCTATCTCACACTGCAAATTTTTTCTAAGCTCTATACTAAACATTAAATCTATTATGAAAAAAGAACTAAACAAAATGAACACAAAACAATCAGCTTTAAAAAAGGACTCGTAACTGGAAAAACCGAATGAAAAAAGAATGTTAACAACAAATACTTTTTCACACCCCACCCAGTTCTGCGGAATCAGAATCAACGTTGAGTTTAAGCAAGTGAAAGAATTAACATGATTCAAGGAATTACTGAATATCAACTACAAAATACATTTCAGAATCATATTGCAGTTTGGATATATATATATATATATATATATATATATATCTTAATTTAGCCTTAATCTGTAATATTTTATTTAATTTACAAATTAAACTATGACTGTACCTGATTTTCAGATATTTAAAGATATTTTTTTAATATGTCTCGTAATATTAATGTTTTATACTTTTATTTTGATCATTAAATTTTATACCTACAAAAATATCTTTAAATATCTGAAAATCAGGTACAGTCATAGTTTAATTTGTAAATTAAATAAAATATTACAGATTAAGGCTAAATTAAGATGTATTGAGTATGAAATTAAATTTCTTAAATATATATATATATATATATATATATATATATATATATATATATATATATATATGAAGAAATATACTCTTAAGGTGTGCTATATGTAAAGATTTTCCAAGCATAGCTTAGATGTGGCACAAGGCCGAAAGTATGGGGTACCTGGTGAGGATCGAACTAACTTTTCAGTCATAACTGATCTAGCGAGACAAGCCTGCTAACCATTACACCACGCCGAGGTGCCCTAATGATTTTCTAAGCGTAGCTTAGATGTGGCACAAGGCCGAAAGTTTGAGGCACCCAGTGAGGATCTAACTCACTATACAGTCGTAATTATTCTAGCGAGCCAAGCTTGCTAACCATTACACTGTGCTAAAGTGCCCAAGGTGTACTATATGTATGGGATTAAGTGCTCAATATCAGTGATAGAGCGTGTGTAAATATAAAAGTGAACATTGAAGTCAACACTTAGAGGCAAGAGGCTGTTTCATGCTAGATGTAATCATCAGGCCATATAAAATATTTGTATACCATATTTTCTGGTTTGCAAGATGCACCCTAATACTGGAAAGAAATTTCTAAGAAAAAAAGTCATTCTCATACAACAACACATTCACCATGTGTCCCTCACATACTGGCGCCGTGTATTGTTTACATTAATCACTAGTCTATGTAATGCGTTTCTTCCTCAAAAAGGACTTCCTCAGGCTAAAGTAATGTTCTTAATGATGGAATTATATATATGTAGCGGGTAAAATAAATATCAGTTTGTACAGTAAATATAAACATTGGTTATATATTTCCCCTCTCTCCTTAGATACATACAATTCTGTTAATAAGAACATTACTTTGATCTGATGAAGTCCTTTTAGATGACGAAACGCGTTACATAGAATTTTTTTTCCACTTTCTTATTCAGTTACTGAACGCTTTTCTGATATTTAGATATTTATATATCCTATTCTCCCATAATATTGGCTGTAGAAACCTTAACATTCCTGGAGGGACAATGATTTAAAATAACTGTTCAGAAGAGATTTACCTTTTGAGCAAACATATATAACAGGTGTAACATATATCTGTCTTGTGGCAACAGCAATTCATAGCTCACCAGGTGTTCAGAAGGGGAGAAATTGAACAAATTACCAAGCAAGAATCGACAGGATTTGCGTATCTGAAACACAAAAATAAATTACTTGAACTCCAGAATGAAATATTAGGACTTTGTTAAATAATTCGTGTCATGCGACATTGTATTAATTGGTAGTTTGGTTTGGTTTATGGCATAACAACCCACTGTGGGTCATTTAATGCTGAAATCTAATGTTTTTCTAAACAAACCTCATATTTAAACATCAAAATTTTTTATTTTAAATAGGAAAACTGCTGTTTTTTCATGGCTATATAATTTTTTTTAATTATGTTTGAAATCAGTTTTATATATTTTTAGTGTTGCAGTGATTGTCATTTTGTTATAAAAATGTATTGTTGCTCATTTTATTATAAAAAATATACTGTTGATTTTGTTGGCGGGGGTGTCACTATTTTCCCACAGGTGGGGCCTTAACAGGTGCTGCCACCCCAAGTCAGGATGAACCTGGGAACACCAGCAATTAAGAGGTGGTTTCACGCTCCTCAAAAACTCCAATCTCCTGATGAGAGACTTTGCTGCCGGATGTAGTTTATTGTCATACCCAGAACTTCAAAGGTGTTTCTACTATCTTAGTTGTCTATTGATTGGTTAAAAAAAGAACTTTATTTTAAGTGCTCTGTCATAAAAACCCATGTGATGAAGGTACCTACTACTATCTCTGCTGAATGGTGAGTGGTTTCAAATACTGCTTCCTTCTGACTGCTCTGTCATAATAATCTATGTGATGAAGGTTGTAGAAGAGAAGACGACTTACCTCATGTGGCAAAACGAGCATGTATATGCCTGGTGTGCAAAACAAGTGAAGGATAGGAAAAGAAAAAGAAATATAGCTGCCCTGATACATTAATTTAAGAAAGACATGGTCTTGGAGCAAGCAGAATTGGTGTGAGAGGTTGGGCATGTGCAAGTTTTTTGCGAGATCAGGGATGAACATAACACATTATGAAGGCTGACATTACCTGACTCTGATAGATTGTGGCCCTAGTTGGTTACCACATCAGGATGCTGCCAGCATCATCTAACAGCTGGAGTCGCTGTTCTGTGAGAGAGGGCCATCTGCTGAGCTGTTTATCGAAAATGGCGTGGGCATTCTGTGGGGAGGTGTTTGCAAGGTTTGCAGAGCACTGGGGCGTCCAACTTAGATTCCACTGTGCCTATCAACCATCAGGAAATGGCATTGGGGAAAGATGTCATTGCATCATCAAGCGTATCGCTGCTCGATCAGGATGTTTGATTACGGAGAAGTTATATTGGTATAACGTGATGCCAAAGGAGAACACAACAGCTTCATCAGCACCAGCTAACTCCATATACAACTATCAGGCCTGCATAAAGGGTGTCAGTGTTGCGCCACCAATTGAACACACAGATCCACAAATCTACAGAGTGGGTGATGTGGTATGGGTAAATACTCCACATGGTTAATGTTTGACCCAATTCAAAAAAGGAACAGTGACAGGGGTCTACAGTCTACATTCAGTACTCATCAATGGAATGCTATGCCATATCAGAGACCTCCACCAGTGTCAGAGATCTGCATTGTCAGAAGATGACGGCAGTGATAAGTCGTCTGAAAGCGACTCATATTCGCTGCTGTTTTTTAGCACAGGGCCAGATTATTCATCTATAGAACCAGTGGAAACAGATGCTGAAGACAACGAAGGAGACCAAGTGGGCACAAATGCCAAAGAGACGGGTGGATCTTGTCCACCTTTATGTAGAAGCACTTGACAAAGACAACCACCACCTCTGTGTCAGTTATGTGATCAGGAGATTAGGGAGGAGTGTAGAAGAGAAGACAACTTACCTCATGTGGCAAAGCAAGCACATATCTGCCTGGCGTGCAAAATGAGTGAAGGAAAGGAAAAGAAAAAGAAATATGGCCATCCCGACACTTTAATTCAAGAAAGACACGGTCTTGGGAGCTAGGAGAATTGGCGAGAGAGGTTGGGTATATGCAAATTTTTTTGCAAGATCAGCTTGGCATAAAACACACCACACAAAAGAGAATAGGCAGTAGTATGTTCATAAATGTAGTTCTGCTTTCACAGAGAGACTTTGTCAGTTGGAAAAGTGATTACTTGGGTCAGTTTCACACAAAGATATCATATTACTGTTCTTGGGTTGATAGAAAAACTCTGTCTTATCTTCAAAATCTGCTGCTTTTCGAGAGGAAATCTTTTTCAATTTTTCATTCCATCAAAGGCGTCTTTCATGGTACAGGATGATGTGAAGTAGATACAGTGGTTTCTTTTTCACTGTTAGTATGATCATGAAGTTTATTATGTTAGTATGACCATGAAGTTTATTATGTTAGTATGACCATGAAGTTTATTATGTTAGTATGACCATGAAGTTTATTATGTTAGTATGACCATGAAGTTTATTATGTTAGTATGACCATGAAGTTTATTATGTTAGTATGACCATGAAGTTTATTATGTTAGTATGATCATGAAGTTTATAACTGAAGCAAGTGTAATTACCAATTTTGGTCCTATTTCAAGCTGGTTCATTCCACTTTTGGGCCAATTATAATTACACATGAAGTATGAGATATTGTAAAGTAATTAAGTTTTTCTCTTCTTTTTTTCATAGTAAATTGAGTAAATGACAAGGAGTTTATAACATATATTAAATCTAACTATAATAATGATATCTATTATGTTTCTGTATATTATTTCTCTTCCGTGTCTTTTTTTATAGTACAAGGGTTGGCTGAAAAGTTCATAGGCTGACAATGAAGGAGTGATGCTAGAGCTGTGAAATCTTGCATGCATTTCAACTCTTTTTTTTTTTTTTTTTTAAATTAATAACTGCATAGTTTCTTTCCAGATAAACTGACACCTGAGTGTTCAAAGAAGACTGTTCATCCTGTTGGTCAAAAAAGTCATCAACAGCCGATATGATGACATCATCACTGTGATACTGGTTCCAAATGTTTTTCATATTGGGGAACAGATGAGACTCAAATCAGAAGAATAAGAAGGATGGCCAGCAAGTTCAAAGTCACAGTCATGCACAGCAGCTATTGAAACCAAGGACTTGTGTCCTGATGAAACAGGACCCCTTTTGTCAGTTTTCCTAGGTGTTTGGCATTGATAGTCTTTCATAACTGCCTCAGCAAGTTGGCATAGTACTCTCCATTGATGGTGTGGCCCTTTTGAAGATAGTCAATAAGAACAATGCTTTTTGCGTCCCAAAAGACTGTGGACATAACTTTCTCTGTAGAGGCAATAACCTTGCCCTTCTCTGGAGCATATGAAGAGGGGGTGTTTCCACTGCATGGATTGTCTCTTTATCTCTGGCTCAAAGTGATGAACCCAACACACATCCTGGGTTAAGAGACGTTCAAGAAAACAAGCTGGATCTGCCTCAAACAGAGTCAGATTTTCCCCATGATGTGATTATTCTCATGCGTTTTTGATTAGGTGTCAGAAAATGTGGCACCCACTGAGCAGAAACCATCATGCCAAGTTCATAGTGCAGAATATTCTCAACTGTTTCAAGTTGAATGTTATGATCCCTGTTTATAAATTCCGCACGCTCTAAAAAAATTTCTTACAATTAACAATAACACATTTCTAAAAACATTTTTCGGATTACATCTATTTTTTCGTTGTCCTGTTATTACCAGGAAGTAAAAAACAAAAACAAATCTATTTCCATACCTGATGATGTCTGTATGCACAGATGAAAGCTTGTAAAAAAAAAAAAAAAAGACCTTATGCAACTGGAATTTATAAACAGGGATCATAACATTCATCTACAGGTTCGGGGTTAATGTACTTTATTAAATTTGTTTGCGAAGATGTATTCTCGCTATTTATATCATTAACTTCTATATCTGTTTTTTGTATGAATGATTCATGTAATATATATATATATATATATATATATATAAAATCACACACACACCACACCTGTAGAAGAGAGTGCCATGTAAAGATTGGTCTGTTAAGCCACTCCAAACACCACTCACAAAAGGACAGTATTTTTTACCAAAAAGGGTGCTACCATTATCTTGCAAGATAAACGGATGCTGACTAATATATATGTATAGACTAAGTGAATTAAAGAAATATAGATGAGTCCAATGCCAGTCTGTCCTTGACTACTGATAGTGCTTCCTCCGTCGGTACCTTGGTGAACAAACTCACCACTTCCAAGCTCACCATCTGGTTGGATTAGATGGGAGCTGTTTTGGTTATTTCCATGAAGTGGGCAGAATTTCAGGCATATGATGGTGACTTTCCTATTAATGGGTCAGCTATATCCACAAGGAAGCGGCTATCACCTGAAGAAGGCCGGAGCATACAATGAATATGGGAATAAAGAGGAGAACAACAGTCTGAATGATGTAAATAGAAATAAAAATGTTTAAAGATAGGTTTATTTCATTATTTACTTACTCTAAATATTTCTTCATTGCATTTTGCTAGGATTGTATGTCCAATGGGCACATTTGTATGGAGTCCAAAGCTAGCTGCCCACCACCTCAGGACGTCTACACCATAAGAGGGCATTTTACCATCCTGAGAAAGAAGTAGATATGACAAACAGATAAAAAACAGCATAGAAGGTTATTTATTGTTAAAAGTGGCCAAATGATTTTCTTTAATCTGCATTAAGATTAGAGTAATTTCAAATTATCTGATTTTAATCACTAATCAATATACAGGGTTTATTTAAGGGGTTGTTAGCTATCAGTAATTTATGTTAGTAAATTGTTAATGGTTACATAAAGTACTGACAGCTCATAATCCCTTTCTGTCTCAGTTTCAATGCATTTCTCACTTAAAGTCATTTGTCATGCTTTTCAAGAGGAAAATCCTTAACAATGCATTTACATTAAACATATAATTGCTCTATTCTGTTAGTAATGTTTGTATTAATTCTTTAACTTATTTCCTGATTTTCAATGAATTTTGATAGTAAAAATATTAACACTATATTTACATTAAACAAATAATCGTCCTGTTCTATCAGTAACTAGCAGTAGAGCCCAGCGTTGCCGGGGATGTAACAGTAAGAGATAGATCAAGTATCGACCATCATAAAGACTGAAAAATAAAATTGACAAAGATTATTGTTTAAGGTTGACAGACACGCATGTCTTAATTAGTTTCATCTTTTTTTTTTTTTTTTTTTTACGAAGTGGTCAAACCCAAACAAAAACATTGTTTTCAATTGTTATGAGTCTACTGATTGAATAGAATTTTATTATAAACAATTGTCTTGTAAATGGAATTTTTAAAGCATTCTGAATGCAAAAATAAAGAAAAAAGTGTGCAAGACAATAAGAAACACTACCTGCCAAAAAAAAGTGAAATTTTTGTTGAAATCGGTTGAAAAATGTAGGAAATCCGATCCCATATATAAATGAACACACACACACACACACACACAAACAACCAACCTGGGTTTTATAATAAGTATAACTCGATAACTCGATATTAATAAGTATAACTAGATATGAGTTGACCCCTTTCATTAATGCCTCTTAATCGTGTTTTCAAATTGATTTCATGTAAAAACAATTGTGTTTTTCCAATTTTGGGCGCTGTCAGAACCACCACAAGGTAATTTTACGTAATCCTCTGAAGTTTTGTTGAAATCGGTTGAAAAATGTAGGAAATCCGATCCAATATATAAACGTACAGACACACACATACACACACAATCTGCGTTTTATAATAAGTAAGATGCTAACATCAATTCTTACTTTCTGCAGTGAATTATTTGTAATAATTTTACATAATAAATATGATAGCCTTATTCTCTCAGTCATAATTGTATTAATTCCTGACCACTGATAATCACTTTCTTCTTGATTTTCAATACATAACATGGGAGTTGACTATTGAAATTTATCAAGAAAATTTATAATAAAAAAAAAAAAAAAAAAATTATTTAATTTAATCCCTTGGAGAGTATGCAATCTGATTCTTTTTATTTATATTCAGCTAAGTCAAACATTGGATATTATTCTATACTAGCATTTAATAGTTATCTCCCTTAAAAAATCGGTTTTTTTTTTTTTTTCAATTATAAATGCAAATCCGATAATATTCAGCAGAAAATCACCTTGATTTTTTTAAAAACATTCCTTTAAGTTAGCATATTTTACAAGTACCTTAATTTTAAATTACCTTTCCCTTTTGTTACAATGTCTTTTTTTCAGCTATTAACTTACATGCAATTATAGAATCATACTTTTAATGATACTAGAATTATTTTGCAACAAGCATATTAAAATCCTCACAGTATTTAGTATTGTTGAAGTTATTGCTAACATTTTTTTGCAGAGATTTACAAACATTACATTTTGTTCAATTTCAAAAGCCAAACTATGAAATATAAAATTTTAAGATATGCAAAAAAACAATATTGCATTCTTATTAAATAAGTATTTGTTATTTTAGTCATTAAATTATTTTTAAAATAGTGGGAGTATTTTGCATGTTAAATAATAAAACTTTTAATTTTTTTTCCAAAAAAATTAATGAAAATTTATTGTACTAAGCTATGCACCCTAGTAAGACCAGCTGTACTTTGTACCCACTTACCTGCTTGCACTTCTCCCCAAAATTTGATTTGAGTCAATGTAGGGCTATTTTAAAGGGTGCAACAGATAGAGGGACTAACAGAAGTCACAGAATTTTATATATAGATAGATAACATTATCAATTCAAATGTGAATGATTTAAAACTAAGCATTATTTGCTTTTGAATACAAATATCATTTATGCTCTTTGCAATAGAATATTTACAAGTTTGTGATGCTTTTTTTTTTTTATTAGGAATATAGAGTTGGAATATTTTTTTAAAGCTTTTCCCCCCAAGCAAGGGGTTGCAAAAAGTGGGAGCAAGAGTAAAGAAGTGTGAAAGAGGAAAGGATGAAGAGAAGGATGGGGAATAGATCGAGGCATTCGGAGATGTTGATTGACATTGCATAGCTATCAGAGAAGAAAGTAAGAGGAAGGGAGTTCCACAGACTGGAAGTGTGAGACATGAAGCTATTGGAGTAGAAGAGACAGCTACATTTAACTGTTTCGATAGTGAAAGGTTGGGACTGAGATACTGGCCTAGTGGCATGTTTAAATTCATACAATTTGGGAACAAGCTCATTGGAGCAGTTACCATGAAAGATTTGTAGAAAAGACTGTGAGAGAGTGGCTGTAAACAAGATGCTAGATCAGAGCCAACCACATTGCATATCCGTCTCTGGATTTTGTTGAGAACCCTAAGATGAACAGCAGGGGGCTCAAGAGCATATATGACAGCAATATTCCATGTAAGCGCAAATAGTTGAGTTATAGATTTGATGGATGGACTCGGGCAAGAAAAACATTGTAGCGTGACACAGAGAACCAACTTTCCTTGCAGTAGATGAAGCTATTGATTCAATGTAATTGTTAATTTAACTCTGGTTTTCATAAATGAACTGACAGTAAAATTGGTTTCATTTTATATCGTTTCTCTTAAAAGAAAAAAAAATCATGCTTCTCAAGACCTATCGACAAGGTAAAGTGAATATCTGTTGTATGAAGAGTTTCTTACTTACCTTGGATCCATTGATGATATCATCAGGATTTATTACATTCCCAACAGACTTTGACATTTTCTTTCCACTCTCATCAACAGTAAAACCATGGACAACAATAGACCTGGCAGGGATCAGAAATCAGTAGTTGGATAATTTCATACTTTAGAAGTGGTTTTAGTTTTTTTAATATGTAACAATATTTATTTCTAAATTCATAAAAGTATTCAAATCTCTTATCAAAAACTTGAAAGACTTAACACTATTTGTGTATTCCCCACACCATACTGTGACAGAAGAAAGTGGCTAGATCAAGGAGAGTACTACAGAATGTGTTGGCTGGTCCAGAATGGCAACCTACTGGTTAGAAGACGGATGATACCAAATGAGTGGTGAGTTTTTGAACCACATAAGCTTGGAATTCTAACAATAATGGATTGCCTTTATTTAAGTTTTAATATAAGGCCAAAAAAGAGCAAAAATACTCAGACAGCTGCAAGAATTAAAAGGGTCAAGATGTCTTGCCATCTCTCTATAAGTAACATTATATTATTATAGATAAATAGGTTTCTGTGTTTATGGGATGTATAATAAAACAAAAGGGAAGATAGTGAGAGAAAGTGAAAAATTTATTAAAGATGCATTTCACTGGAGAAGTGTCTGCTCTCTTTGGCTGCTTGAGTTTAAATTGAAAGAAAAACAAAAATGTGTGTGAGGAAAATGCCTTGGGATCTCTGATAAGTGGGTATCATAAATCAAATTAATTACCCTAGTTTATCACCTCCTAATGTTCAGAATTGGAGATTGTTTCTGCATGTATGTTCATTTGTTTTATCTATATATGTATTAGAGCCATTTGGTATTGCAGAATTTTAAATCAGTGATTTTTATTTTGTTACACACACACGCACACACACACACACTACAGTTCAAAAGTTTGAAGCACTTCCCAGAATTAACATGGTATGAACTAGACGAAAGAGAGAAAAAAAAAATGAAAAAAGAGCTCTTAGAGTCATTGAAAAAAGAATGGAATCAATTATTAAAATTATACTTTGAGAAACTTTTGCAATGAATGCCAAAAATTTGTGTTGCAGTAATCAAGGCTAAAGGAGGATATTTTGACGAGAGCAAAATTTAATCATAAAATGCTTTTTTCTTTTTGTCATAATAAAAAATCATGTGTCACTTTTATTTAACCATGTATAATAATTTTCTCTCATTTAAAGAACAAAACAATTAATTTTGGGACCAATTTAATTAATTACAAGGGGTGGCCTCAAACTTTTGAACTATGGTGTGTGTGTGTATATATATATATATATATATATATATATATATACACATCCATCCAGATATATACAAATATGAGAGATTCCCCCACTTTTTTTGCATACTTGTACATAAATAGGTTTTGTGATTTTTTATCTCTTGTGGTGTTATTTAATGTTGAATTGTGTATGGGACACCCAGTAAGGATCATAGTCAGTATTAATGGTCAAACAGGCTAGCCTTGATCACCATTAACCCACAGTGAGGTACTATGAAAAAGCATTGCAAATGTGTGATTTTGATGACATGTTTACCCTGTGTAAACATACGACCCTTGCCTATGTGGGTAGGTAGGGGACAATTTCTACTATGTCACTATCATAGATCAGCTCTTCTCCCTACCAGCTCCTCATTCATCTACACATCCTGATGGATGGCTGGCAGGATAAATGGGTGGCAACATAACCACATGATGGACAAGTCTGTTCCCTGCCAAGGGCAGACCAGAATTGACTCCCATGATCTATTATTATACATGACTATTATCAGCAGCTGGAAATAACTGATGACCAAAGGCCCCCATCCACTCCTTTACTCTTCTGTTCCCCTTTAGTCAAAGTGGATGCCACTTAGAAGACAAAACTTCAAAGAAAGTCATCTACTATCTATAACAAAAGAAACACATGAGGTTGAGATAAAATCTCACCTTCCACATCTATGCGGGTGTCACAACTATAGTGTCACACTTTGATGGGTTATTAAATGCTGAATTTTGAATGAGGCACCAAGTGAAGATCAAAATCACTGCTCAGATTAGACTTGTTAACCATTATCAATTACCGAAGCATTTATTATTATGGAGTTAGCCTTGGTATAGTCTATGACACCTGGGTAAACAATAGTCTACCAGATACCATTACTTTGTATGCACGACTTAGTGATAGACTTTTAGGTGGAGAATGGGAAGAAAGATGGGACAGGGGTCTTCTAGATAATCAGATACAATACATACAATAACTATAATGATGTTTATTAATTTGTATTTACTCAGCACCCCACCCCCGGAGGTGAGGTTGTGACACAAGGTTGGTTTAATGTGGCGAGCCTGAGTGCGTATACCCAGGCTAGAAACAAAAATTGCCTGAGTACCCGCAACCATTGGTTGTACTGGCCTTGGTGTGAGCACTGATCCCTCTCTCTGGTTCAATGAGAGGTCATGGGCTCAGGCAGCTGTTCCCCAGGGCTGGGCACCTCACAGTATAATTTTCCTCTGTCCTTTGATGGAACCGCCCCTGAGCACATACTGCCCAAAGACAGAGACGCAACTGAGAGATGATAAATAAACAAACATGTTACAAACTACTCAAGAGTAATTTACACACTTCTGAGATTTATTAATTAATATTAATTTTCAAAAGTATAAAATTTATAATTGTGAAATTCCTATTTGTAACCCCCCCCCCCCGCCAATCATTATCATAAACATGTTTTTTGCGTTTTGTTGTTGAAATTTTGCACACTGCAAGGGAGGTGGGGGTTCCTGCCTGTCAGAGAATCTGTTGTCAAAATGATTTTCCTGATACCCAATTCAGATACTGATGGTAGTTCAAGTACACTGAATGTTTTTATCGAGACAGTATCTCTAGGAAGGTTGCCATTCAAGGCTTGAGACCACACTCTAGCCTTATATACAAGACATAAAAAAATTTGAAACACTGACCTTTACACTACCATCGTTTCTACCAAAGTGGTATTATCAGGCACTTTCTTTAATTAAGCTGTTCTTTTTGTCAAAGATTGACTTTTGTAACACACACACACATTTTATATATATATATATATATATAACAAATATCACACATTGAATGCCGGTGCTAATAAAATAGTGCTCGATGCAATATAACAGAGCTATAAACTATATATTAATAAGTATACATATCCTCACTAGTAGCATGACTCAGAGTTTCATGTACAGATGTGTGCGTGTGTGTGTGTATATATATATATATATATATATATATAGTGTAACCCGGATATAAGAGAGTTGTCTGAACCGGAGAAGAAGTCTCTTATATCCGGGTTTGGTCTATTTTATATACATTAACACAGGCTCTAATTTGGGACCAGAGAAAATCTCTCTTATATCCGGGTTACACTGTATATATATGTAAGCAAATATATGGATATAGATCCGACAGTATGAAGAAAAATACAGAAAAAACAAACAAAAATCTTATTATGCAATTATGCAAACATAAAAATTTCAGTTATTTGTTTGGATTAGTTGTGCTCTTATGTCCATCGTCTTTTGTGTTAAATTTTTGTATGTTTTAATGTTAATTATGTTTAAATGAAAATGTCCATGAAGATGGTCTTAAATAGACCGAAACAACCGATGTCGACTTTATATTAACATTTATACAGCATAATTGCATATTAAGACTTTTGTTTGTTTTTCTGTATTTTTCTTCATACTGTCGGATCTATATCCATATATTTGCTTACATACTGTCTACTGGAAATACAAACCTGAATTTACTTTATAACATGGAAGACTTCAAGCTTGGACGAGAATATAAGAATCTATTGATCAAGTAAGGAAAGGATTTATTATCAAACTGTTCCATCGTTTTTTAAATCATTTTTGATTTGCTTTGTAACGTGAAGGACTTCAAGCTTGTATGAAGATATAAGAACCTAATGATCACTACGTATTCCTACATCAACGGAAGGGATTTCTTGAACTGTTTATATAAAATAATTCAATCGACTTTTTTAATATTTTAATATTTGGAAATCATCTTCGAATACGTTTTAACAACATCGCCCACGTGACGACGACGTGATCATATTTAAACAGAACGCTGATCTTATATAAAATATTTCAGTTATCTGTTTGGATTAGTTGTGCTCTTATGTCCATCGTCTTTTGTGTTAAATTTTAATATGTTTTAATGTTAATTATGTTTAAATGAAAATGTCCATGAAGATGGTCTTAAATAGACCGAAACGTCCGACGTCGACTTTATATTAACATTTATACAGCATAATTGCATAATAAGATTTTTGTTTGTTTTTCTGTATTTTTCTTCATATATATATATATATATATATATATATATAATGTCACACATTATGAAATGGACAATGTCCGACAATTATTTCAAGACATTTTATGTTTATACTTTTTTTTTTATTGATACAAATATTTAAGTAAATGCTGTTTATAAGAAACAGTATTAAACAACATTTACTGGCCTGAATGTTTAAGAAATTTTCACAGAAAATATTCGTCCTCCGACAGGATTCGAACCTGTATCCTATACGGAACCATCATTTAGCTTGATGTGTCTTTACTGATTTGGCCACGAAGGACCATTTGGTTAACAAGGTCGAATTTACTGTATGTGTGTGTGTGTGTATATATATATATATATATATATATATATATATATATATATATATATATATATATATATATATTACACACACACATACATACACACTGGTCAGTGGCCCCTATAAGAAGCTCACCAAACCCTTTGACAAGTCTTGTCTTATTGTCTTGCATGGAGACAAGCCAACCTCCTCACCTGCAAAAGGATAGTGAGAGAGCTGGTTTAGATGCCAACTACTTGTCTATGTGCCAGGTTGTTGAGTGTTTATTTTTATGGCTTATCAACCTTTTGAAGGTTATTTAAAGCCTGAAATTATTTTTAGATTGTAAGAATTTTTTTTGAGATAAGGATTTTACTGATACAAGTCATACTAATTGACCCATAACTGGGGGGAGAGTCATACTAATTAACCCATCCATTCCCCTACCTGCACATCCAAGCTAACAGTACATCATATTTCCAAGTGGTCACTCATCTATGTACTGGCCAGGCTCGACATTGCTTAAGTTTGGTGATCATATGAAAACCGGTGTATCATTGTGATACAGCAGGTTGTATTAGATTACATGTTACCAGTAGTAGGCCTAAGCCTGACCGTAACTCTTCCAAACCCTTTCATAAATGAAATGCCAGGCAAAATGATTCTTATATTTCTTACTTGTAAGGTGATTTCTCCTTCATTGCAATGCTCGTAAGGAGAGATGTTTGGAACCAGGCGCCAAATTGGTCTAATCCTTCGAGGTAGAGATCAGCTTCGTAATTCATTTCTGGTAAGAAAAAAAAAGAACAAACAAAATTTTAACACAACTGAAGGTATAAAAAAATGCTGAAAAGATTAGTTACCATTAAAACCCCATGTAATTTTTGCACTTGTGTAATTTATGCAGGTGATTTCCAGGATAAAATTTGTCAAAAAAAGCTTCAACTCGTGTAAAATTTGCCCCCAAATATTTTCAGAATTGCCTATATGGCCAGGGGAAGGAAATTTTCAATCTAGTTGTATTTAGCATAATTTCACTTACTTTCGATTAGATTTTGTTAAATTTTCATTAGATAAAAATAATTTTTGTTTAAAAGGTAAGTATCAGATTAAAAGATATTAAATTATATGACCTGGATTATATTCACACATAGAAGTCAGGGTTGTGATTGTCAACATTGCAAATGTTTATAATTTATTTCCTTTTTCTTACCATCCTCAACAATTTTGCTGATCTCAAAAGAAAACAAGAAAAACAGACAAGAATAAAACCATGTCATTACTTTTTTTTTTTTTCCAATCAAGAATATCCATATCATTATGTATGTCAATGGTGCTCCATTGCGATAGGTAGAAACTCCCTCTAAGCAATGTAAAATATGGCCTGGATCATGACTGCCAGCATGAACATCAGACTTCAAAAATTAGTTAACCATTTAATGGTTTAGTAAATTTATACGGAAAAAGTAAGCATTAAATCATCCAGCATAAATAAAAGCCAACTTCATTACATTTATGGCCTTAGTTTTTTTTGTATAAATTTATTCTGACATTAAATGGTTTAACTTCCGGTACAAATGTTTTGTGTTTTGTACATCTTTTATCAACAAAAATTTTAAAAAAATAAAAAAAATACTGGAAATGATCTATTCATGTAATTTATGCCCCCCTCTAAAGTTTTTTTATTTTTTTTTTTTACTGTGAAAAAAATAAATGGAGCAACAATATTTTATATCTTGCAGAAAATTTTATTAAAGTCAAATTTATATTTATATATATATATATATATATATATATATATATATATATATATATATATATATATAAATTTTCATAAAAATTTATGTAAAAAAAAAAAAAAAAAAAAAAAAACAAAAACAAAAACAACTTTAGAGAAGTTTACAAAATATATGCTACTAGCAGTAGAGCCCGGCGTTGCCCGGGTATGTAACAGTAAGAGATAGATCAATTATCGACCACCATAAAGACTGAAAAATAAAATTGACAAAGATTATTGTTTAAGGTTGACGGACACGCATGTCTTAATTAGTTTTATTTTTTGTTTTGTTTTTTTTACAAATTGGTCAAACCCAAACTCAAACAAAAACATTGTTTTCAATCATTATGAGTCTACCAATTGAATTGAATTTTATTATAAACAATTGTCTTGTAAATGGAATTTTTAAAGCATTCTGAATGTAAAAATAAAGAAAAAAGTATGCAAGACAATAAGAAACACTACCTGCCAAAAAAAAAAGTGAAGTTTTGATGAAATCGGTTGAAAAATGTAGGAAATCCGATCCCATATATAAATGAACACACACACACACACACCACCTGGGTTTTATAAGTATAACTCGATATGAGTTGTCCCCCTTTCATTCTCGCAACAGCGATGCCTCTTAATAGTGTTTTCAAATTGATTTCATGCAAAAACAATTGTGTTTTTCCAAGTTTTGGCGCTGTCAGAACCACCGCAAGGTAATTTTACGTAGTCCTGTGAAGTTTTGTTGAAATCGGTTGAAAAATGTAGGAAATCCAATCCAATATATAAATGTACAGACACACACACAACCTGGGTTTTTTATAATAATTATATATATATATATATATATATATATATATATATATATATATATATATATATATATATATATATATATATATAGCATATATTTTGTTTTTATTTAGACATATCTCATTAAATAATTTAGACAAGTTTTGTCTACTTATTTTTAATAGGATCCTCTCATAATTATGGACAAGTTTCTTACTTATGTAATGTATGATTTTTAAATTTTATGATGTAAACCATATTGTTGCATATTCATTTTATTCCAAGTACTTTCAACATTAGCACCATGTCATCATTGGTTTTTTTTTTTTTCTAAGAGAAAGAATTGTTGTGTTCATCATTTTCCTAAGACAAAATTGTTATATTGATCTGAAAATTAAAGTGTTTTTCACTTCCCAAGTAAAAAATAATTTAATGAGACGTGTCTTAAAAAAGAAATATATATAAGTAATTCCTCGAGTCTAGAATAATCCTCAATGCAGAATGCACAGGATGTCCGTTTTGTCCTATTTTGGGATTCATCAGCAGTGTGCATCCACTACTGAGAATTGAACTCGGGCCACTATATGACATGACGCAAACGTCATATCAACTAGACCAACAGGTCTCGGTGACAAAGAGGTAACAAACTAGACTTGATATAGCGTCTGCACAAATTCCGCTGTGTGACTCACAAGTTCCATTGTCTTGATGAGTCCCAAAATAGGACGAAACGGCCATCCATTGCTTTCTGCATTCTGTTGAGGATTTTTCTTGACTCAATGAATTACTTAATTATGATTATTCAAATCCCCTAATAATCTCCCTATAATATATATATATATATATATATATATATATATATATATATATATATATATATATCCTTGTTGAACTGGATTCCAGTGCTCTGGATGGAGTGGCTTGGGGATAGAAGATGTGAGGGGACAGTGTTGGTATAAGTAAACTTGGATGTGTCAAACAATGGAATTTGTGAAGAGCAGGTGCTATATCAAGTCTAGTTTGTTACCTCTTTGTCACCGAGACCTATTAGTCTATTAGGTATGATGCTTGCGTAATATCATAATGGTCTGGGTTCGATTCTTGGTAGTGGATGTGCATTGATGATGAATCCCAAAATAGGACGAAACGTCCGTCCAATGCTTTTTGCATTTTGTTGAGGATTGGATTCTTCTAGACTTGATGAATTACTTAATTATGATTATTCAAATCCCCCTATATATATATATATATTTTTTTTCCACTTTGTCTTATCATCTTCTCTTTTGTTTCAGATATTATTATACATTCTACAAACATACATTGTATAGCGATTTTCCAAGCGTAGCTTAGACGTGGCACAAGGCTGAAAGTATGGGGCACTCAGTGAGGATTGAACTCACTACTCAGTCATAATTGTTCTAGCAAGACAAGCTTGCTAACCATTACACCACCTCGAGATGCCTCAAACACACATTGTATATCTGGACAGGTAAGTTGACTTTCAGAGAAGATAAGATTCAGATTTTGGTCTGAATTTCATAGTTTTAGTCCATATATGTGGTAGAAGCTAAATACCAAAACAACTAATATACTAATAAGATAAATTTAATACCTTGAAATAAATACCTTGAGTGTATTTTTTTAATCATTTTACTTCAAGCAATATATGGTAATATAAATTGCTTAACACATCTGAAGGCACAAAAAAAAATATTGGTGGAGGGATTAGGGATGAAAGAAAGCACCATAATAGAAAAAAAGTAACATTTTTACATTGAATTTTGGTAAAGAAGATATGAAATGAAAATTAAAAGATTACCTTTTAAAACAACAGACCATGAAGTGCCACTGTCAAACCAAATGTCAAAGATGTCTTTCCCTTTCACATAGTCAGTGGCTTCACCAGCATTATTCTATATAAAATAGAAATTATAAAAATAAGAGAAACTTTCTAAAATATCACACTTTGTCTTAAAAATTAAAAAATAAATTAAAAAAAAAAATGGTGTAAAATCTTAAAAAGTAATAAAAAAATGGAGAAATATTTTCTAAATTAAATAAAAAATGGAGAAATATTTTCTTCATTAGAATGAAGCAATATTTTCCTACATCAATGAAAAAAAAAAATGGATAAAAATTGATGGTAAGAATTTTTTTTTCAGTGCTTTTAAAAGCAAAACAATGATATAACTCCAAAGATGGTGAAAAAAAGAAAAAGAACATAGATTTTTATACAACAATCTCTCATTGCTATTTAAACTAAAGTTCATCAGAGAATGAATAAATTCATGCCTTTCTCAAGGGTATTTATGTGAAAGTGAATGCAACAGACTAGTCTGGAATTTGAACTTTGCACAACAATTCCTCTTTCGTAACAAATGTCTATTAAACTCCAATGACCAAAATGGGACTATAACAACCAAGATGAAGAATAAATGAATAAATAAGAACAACAAATCCCATTCTCAGTGATTTATGCAGAAATGTCTTTTTCTCCTTGCTCAAATTAAATAAAAGGATTCAGTTTTAAGTTTCCAGAATGCTGTAAAATATGACAGGCACATGAAAAAAGCAGGATTGATTTGTTTTTTATGACTTATTTACCCTTTGCAGGTTATTTAAAGTCAGAAAATATTTTTAGATTGAAAGATGGTACAGTAGTTGAAAGGTGATGATGGCAACCAAGATGAAGATATTAGTCTCATTAATGTCTAGAAATGCACAATAATCTTGACGTTATTTGTTTTTAAATAATGATTATAGTAATTTAAAGAGTTCAATAAATCAATTTTAAATTTTGCTTAATGCTCTACTACTTTTGAGCAGGTTGGATAAAGGCTACAGGATTAAATCCTTTTGTTTATTTTTGAGATGTCAGCAATTATAGATTAATATCTATTTGAGAAGTTGACTCAATTTGGATCATAAATAGCAAAGAAAGAAATTGAGAAGAAAAAAGGGCAACTGTAGCAATCTTAATTCCCTCACAAGTAAAAGAAAAAAATACAATGTGGACTTGATAAAATAAAAGGAAAACAATGCAAAAAGTATGATTTTAGTAATCTAAACAACTCTTGGGATGATGAGGATTTAAAATTCTAGAATTTAAACAGAATGGATTGATTGAAACATTATAGTAACTACAAAAGCAATACAAATAATGAGTTCAGTAGTCTGAAGAACTCTTGAAATGATAATGAATCTTCTCAAAATTATAGAAGGTAGATATAGAATGGATTGACTGAAACATTATGGTAACAACAAAAGCAATACAAAGAACGAGTTTAATAATCTGAAGAACTCTTGGAATGATAATGACATTTCTCAAAATGATAGAAGGTAGAAATAGAATGGATTGACTGAAACATTGTGGTAACAACAAAAGCAATACAAAGAATGAGTTCAATAGTCTGAAGAACTCTTGGAATGATAATGACTCTTCTCAAAATGATAGAAGGTAGACATAGAATGGATTGACTGAAACATTGTGGTAACAACAAAAGCAATTCAAAGAATGAGTTCAATAGTCTGAAGAACTCTTGGAATGATAATGACTCTTCTCAAAATGATAGAAGGTAGACATAGAATGGATTGACTGAAACATTGTGGTAACAACAAAAGCAATTCAAAGAATGAGTTCAATAGTCTGAAGAACTCTTGGAATGATAATGACATTTCTCAAAATGATAGGAGGTAGACATAGAATGGATTGACTGAAACATTGTGGTAACAACAAAAGCAATTCAAAGAATGAGTTCAATAGTCTGAAGAACTCTTGGAATGATAATGACATTTCTCAAAATGATAGAAGGTAGACATAGAATGGATTGACTGAAACATTGTGGTAACAACAAAAGCAATTCAAAGAATGAGTTTAATAGTCTGAAGAACTCTTGGAATGATAATGACATTTCTCAAAATGATAGAAGGTAGAAATAGAATGGATTCATTAAAACATATCTTGGAACCACTGAACAACAACCCAGTTGTACTCAGCTAAGAACAAATGATTAATATTGCAGGCTAATTTTTCACATTTAGAAAATCAACATTGCACTCAGTATGAAAGCTGGGGTTTGATATGATAAGTACTGACACCAAAAATTAGATTCATAGCTTTTACAAATTTTTGAGCCTTGAAAGTTCATCTGAAAAAAAAAAAAAAATGTACAGGAATACCTAATTTCTGCAGATTTTTGCTTAAAAAACTGACTACAAAACTTTACTATTTCAAGAATAAATCCAAATAAAGTTGATATCTTTTGTATTATATATATTGAATGGAAAATATATTCAAACCAGAATTTTAATTATGAAGGATCACATGCAAAATATGCATTTTTTTTTTTTTTACTGTATTTGATAAGTAAAAATTGTTTAGAAAAAATTGTAAAAAATTACAAAAAAAGGCTACTCAATGAATAAGATTTTTTAGACCATAAGTAATAAACACAAAAAATAGATTAAAGAGTATATAACACCATAATAGTACTGGGAACAAATCATAAGACAAAATGTTTAAAATTTGCATTGTTTATTGAAAATCGAACTAAAGCCACTGCACTGTATAAGATATTACATCATAATATAGCTAAATTGTTCAGTATAATTTCCTTTTGAAGTAAATGATGGTCTTATTTAATGAGACAATGATTTGGTAATAATGTGCGTGTGCATTGAATCTTGTACATATACAATTTGTAAAGCTTCAGTAAATTATAAATTTTATAAGGCTGTGCTATAAGGCTTTCACTGATCACTGAAATAAAATTCCAAAACTGGTTTTGAACCTAAACTTAATCTTTAAACCTATTTCTTCAAAAAAATGGTAACAATTTGAAAATAAAAAATATTTTGTGGTGTTATTTATCATGTCAAACCCCTAATTTTAAAATTGAGTGCAATACCACGGTTCGAAAATCGACCTGTCCTAATGACTAATGCTAGAATAAAAAACAAATAAAGGGTGTTCCAATAACTTGGACTGATTTTAAATGTGAATTAAGTTTAAGTATCTAATGATTTTTTTTCTTTTTCTTTCAGATTTAACAACTTAAGTCTTTAGCAATTTCAACCATGGAAAGATTAACAATCAAACATCATGTTATTGAAGGCTATTATGAAAATGGCTTTATTGATTAAGTTCCCAGGTCACATCATCTCTTGAAACAGTGAAGTCAATTGGCCACCATGATCATGCAACTTGATGCCTATAGATTTCTTCCTTTGCGGTCATCTCAAAAGTAAGGTCTATACCAACAACAATTCAAATTTTGACCATTGAGTGGAGGTGTGCTGCCAAAGCCTTGGCGGATATTTGGGTGATATTATTTTTCACACATAATTGCCATGACTTAAATAACATGATCCAATAGAGAAATAAATAAATTTTCACCAATAACACTGATTTATTTACTACTGACTTTGATCAGTCTTAATGAAACACCACTTAAAACTAGTAGTCCTATGAGTAGTTCATGTTTTTATTGCTGACAGCTGGTATAAAATTTATTTGACTTGGCATTCCACACTGACAAGATACAATGAATGATGACATTGAGTTAACTACTATTATTATAAGGCTACACGATTCTACAGAGTGCGATAGGTAAATTGCCGCCATTTTATCTTTTTAATTTTGCACGTGCGCATTGTTTGATATTGATTTTGTCAACTGCACAGTAAAGTAGGGTCAGTTGGAGACCATCTGTGAGAAAAAGAGCACCATGATGCAATTCAATCTGCCAGAAATTTGAAAATGGCATGCTGTATTGCTTGGCATTCATACCGGAAGCTCCAATATGAACACTGGAGACTGTTTGGGTGATATCTGAGGACAGTGCAGAGGATTCGAGATGAGTTGGATGTCTAATGGTGATTACGAAGGTACAGCAACTCGGAAAACTTACAGATCATTCTGATAAGAAAAGAACTCCTGAATTTATTGGTGAGGGCCTCAGACTCAACATGGAAGCCTGTATCAAGCACCTTGAAGAGGTTGTGCTGCTCTGGGTCAAGAGGGTGGCTGCTGGAAGACCCTATATCTGGCAATAGGACTCTGCAACATGCCACACAAGCAAGAGAACCCAGTCATGGCTGTCAAACAATTTCTGCGAGCACATCACATCTTACATCTGGCCACCTAACCCCCCAGACTGCAACCCCCTTGATTATTATGTGTGGGGCACAGTTGAGTGAGTGACCAACAAAACTCATTCTAAAACCAAAGATGAAGGCAATGATTATGGCAGTATTCACCAACTTAAACAAGGAAACTGTCCAGAAGAGTTGCAGGGGATTCTGAATTTGTCTGGAAGCCATGGTTGAAGCCAATGGTGAGTTTATTGAATAAATTTACTCTTTAGTAATTCAAGATATTTTTGTGCAATTTTGGTAAATATATCTGTTAAGATGAGATGTCAGTATTATTTTCATTTTTGTGTAATTTAAACGACAATTTATCCATCGCGCCCTTCACTTGTATATTTTTGACAGGCAATGATTGCGTGTAAGTAATTTTTCCTTCTTACCTCTTTTAGAATGTGTTCCGGTAGTAACTGCTCAATTGGAAGGTCCCACCAAGCGTCAGTGCCTTGTTTGACAAAAACAGAAGCTATATGTTCGATACTGGAGCTGCAAGAAAAATTTGTAAAACGGGAATTTGTGAGAGAAATTGTAATCATTACTGATAAATTGATCTGATTATTCTTATAAAAGCTATAAGTTTTATCCGGTATGGATCCAGCCATTCTAGATATTTCAAAAACTAGTTGTGGGGCCTTAATACAACTTGTCAACCTATCAGTTCATATTTGATGTTACAAATTTTGTTGGTCCCTCACTCAACTGTGCTCCACACATAATAATCAAGAGGGTTACAGTCTGGGGAGTTATGTGGCCAGATGTAAGGGGTGATGTGGCCAAAGAAAAGGTCTAACAGCCATCACTGGGTTCTCCTGCTTGTGTAGCGTAGTGTAGAGTCATGTTGCTAGACACAGGGTCTTCCAACAGCCACCCTCTTGACCCAGGGCAGCACTACCTCTTCAAGGCACTTGATGTAGGCCTCTGTGTTGAGTCTGAGGTCCTGTGGGATGATGAATGGAGGCATTCTGTCACCATTACTAGTGATCACTACAAACACCATGATATTCAGTGGATATATCATCTAACTCTTTCTGAATCCTCTGCAATGTCTTTAGATTGACACCCAAACACTCCAAAATGTTTGTATTGGAGCTCCCAGTGCAAATGCCAAGCAGTACAGCATGCTGTTTTCAAATTTTTGGTGAAGTGATTTGTGTCAAGGTGCACATTTTTTCACAGACAGTGCCGAAATGACTCTACTGTGCAGTCAACAAAATCAAAAACAAATAATGTGTATGCGTGAAATTAAAAATATAAAATGGTGACAATTTACCTATATATATATATATATATATATATATATATATATATATATATATAAGTTAAAGATCAAATATGTAAATATGGATTAGAATCTGACAGGATGATGAAATAAAAACAGGAAATGTATATCAATCTAACGTTTTACTTTATTATAGTGTCATTAGAAATTGAGAGATAAACCCTCAATCTCTGACAAGGATTTAATAAAAATGAAATATGTTAGATTTAAATACATTTCTATTTGTTTTTTTATTTTATTATATATATATATATATATATATATATATAAAATTCTGATAAGAAAAGAACTCCTGAATTTATTGGTGAGGGCCTCAGACTCAACATAGAAGCCTACAACAAGCACCTTGAAGAGGTTGTGCTGCTCTGGGTCAAGAGGGTGGCTGCTGGAATAAATATATATATATATATATATATATATATATATATTACAATGAATCATTCATACAAAAAGTAAATTAGTAAAGTTGATGATATAAAATGGCGAAATCACTTTGCTAACTAAATTTTAAAGATGCAATCACCACTTGATGAATGTTATGATTCTTGTTTTTTTAAAATTATAAACGGTATTAGGTCTTCCTTAGATATTGAAGTACTTTCAATGGGTCCTCTGGTCATCACAAGGCATGGAAACTATTTTCTTTTTGGATAAAATTCAGGTAGTATCCATGACAAAAAAATATAATGCAATTCGAAAATTTCATTTTATATCATTAACTTTACTAATTTACTTTTTGTATGTATGATTCATTGTAATATAAATTAAACTGTACCACACACATATATATATATATATTATATATATATATATATATATTACCGAGGCATGTGCTATTAAAGACTACAGAACTTTTCTGTTTAATAATCTTTTGATTTTTCTTCTTTTCTTGCAAGTTTCTTTATTTTTGAATCCAAGTTGTTGAAAAAAAAAAAAAAAGAACCCTGTCCTTGGTGCTTTGTTGAGCACTTTTGGTTGTCGTCAAACATCATCATGGCTGTATGCTTTTGCTTTGAAGTAGTATAAGATAATATTTTGGGGTATTCAGGCTGTGTTGTTGGATTAGTTCATAACTAATCCCCAAATAATAAATACTGCTAATGAACCTCACTTCACCCAGGTCTGCCAGCCAATCCTAAAGTCCAAATTTGACTCCAACTTCAAAAGGAAGAGATTTTAGACCATAATGTTTGTTTGTTTAATGGCATATCATCTCTTTATGGGTCATTTAATTTTCTTGGGAGCATTAGTAATTTCTTTTCTAAAAATGTATTCCTGGCATCTTTACTATAAAAATGTACTTCTACACTTTCATAGTGTCTTGACCCCAGTTTGGGGGTTCACTATTTGCACATAGATGGAACCCTAACAGGTACTACCACCCCAGGTTGGGGTGCACCTGGGAACAACAACAATTAAAAGGTGGTTCCATGCTCCTCAAAACCTTCTGATCAGAGGCCTTGATGTCAGATGTAGTTTATCATGATGATGATGGTCTGATCCCAGGATGATCAGACCATCATGAATGAGATTAAAGGGAAGGCAAGTAACGGCAATCCACAAAGGGGATATAAAATATCATGACTCAGGATGTTCCTGCATCTCCATCAATCAGCATTGACAATGTGTTGCTAAGAGTAACAGATCATTTCACATATCCAGGCTCTACCATCACCAATAACTTAATGCTTGACCTGGAAATAGACAAATGCATTGCTAAAGTGGCAGCCGTGATGGCCAAATTGTGCAAGGCAGTATTGGACAACTGTTAGTTGACTTTGCGCACAAAACTAGAAGTATTCCAGGCATGTGTCCTTAATATACCAGCTTTACGACAGTGAAACCTAGATAAGATACACCAGATAGGAAAACCGCCTGGAAAACTTTTCATCTGTCCTGTCTGCAGCATATCTTTTGCATCACAAGAAGAGACAAAGTTACCAACATTGCTGTAAGAGGAGCAAGCAAACTCCTTGAACACGTATCTTCTTTTCTGTCAACATTGTTTTCGATGACTGGGTCATATACATTGAATGAATGATGGACATATACCAAAAGACATCACTACTAAAAATAGGCCAATCCAACAACAACAAAGCATTAATTTCTATTAGCTGGTGGATGCGAGTTCAATTCCTGTGCTGGGCAATACATAAGTATATAGAACAATAACAAGGGTGATTTATTTCCTGTCTTGTTGTTGTTGTATGTAGCCTTGCATCGTTATGGAGGAGAACTTTTTTTTTTTTTCTCAATTGAAGAGCACAGAGCACTTTCTGACAAAAGTTTGATAGACACATTGCAGCTGCTGGGAGGTATAAATGTGCATTGCGAACTTTAAATGAATAATGCCTCCATGATCCCAGCTTATAGACAACATTACCTTTTTCCGATTGAGTTCAGCTTTTTCATGGGGAGGGAAGTGGGTGAAGTGGTCTGTCAGGGATTTGCCAAGCAAATGAATGTACACTCTCTGGAAGAAATACCATGGGCTTATATTAAACTTCAGAGCAGAACCCATTATAAAGAACATGTGCAATAGGCCAATCTAACAACAAAGTATTAGTTTCTATTAGCTGATGGTTGTGAGTTCAATTTCTGTATGATAACATTGGCTGACTTCTGTTAAAAAATTGGTTGTATTATTTCATCCTTCTTGATAGGCCTCATCGGACAACACCATTCACAGAAGTTCTGATGCAGCACCTTTAAAGTCATGCAGTCTATCAGTTGTCTTTCACTGGTAATCCAATGGTGGTCAATTTCTCTCATTGCAACCATTTCTTCCAGATCTGCTGTGTCCACTCAACAGCAATGATCTGTAATTACTCTTGTTGTTTAAAGATGTTTTTCAAAGACTTATTATCTGTATATACTTTATGTATGATCCTCCAGTGCATAAAGCTCCTTCACCACAGATGCAATCAAGTGGCCATAAACAGCAGAATAGGTATATAGAATTTACATTGAACAATAACAACTACATTTCAAAGATGTCTGCTAGAGGGACCTAAGACTCACAGGCATTGACCCTGGTAGCTAGGAACAGCTAGATGATCACAAGGGCAGGGATTTGTGGAGAGCCATGGCTGCCTATGTCCTGAGGAGACACAGCAGATAAAGAAGAAGATACAAGTCTTACTAATTAACCCATAGCTGGGGAGGGGAGAGAAGAGGTGGATTCATACCTTTCCCAAGGGTATTTGTGTGTAAGTAAATATAATGAACCCAACTTGGCTCTCCAAATAACAATGCCATTATCTATTACACCACCCGCACATCAAAATTTACAGCACCTGGTATTCCCAAATGGTCACCCGTCTAGGTACTGACTAGGCTCGATGTTGCTTAACTTCAGTGATCGTACAGGGAACCAGTGTTTCAATGTGATATGACTGTAAGCCCCAAGGGGCAAGATAAAATGGACAGGATAATTGCTGTTCAAGTAACCAAAAGCTCTCCCAATGTTTAGTGACATGATTATAAAGCAGTGATTCTCAACCACCATGCCATGGCTCACTAGGGCTCCATGTTAAGCGTGCCATGAAATACTGTCATTACACACACACACATATATTTCTCCATGATTTTCTCATACATTCATATCTGCTCAATGCATATCCAAATGTAAAGAAATGATGTCACACATTATGAAATGGACAAAGTCCGACAATTATTTTTTTTAAGACATTTTTTTATGTTTACGTGTCGGAGGACGCATATATATATATATATATATATATATATATATATATATATATATATATGTATGTACGTGTGTAAGTTGTAATGGTATAGCATTAGTATATGAATAAATGACTAAATATTAAACTTTTTTTCAAATAATTCTTTTCACTATTCTTTGATTATGTTATTTTAAATACTTTGTTTTACTATTCATTTTTTTTTAAAAAGTATTTATATTATTTTAAAGGCTCAAAATAAAAAAAAAAATTTGACGGTACCCATTGATACATTTTAGATTTCAATACAAAATAAATATCTTACATTAGCTAAAAAAGGCTTTATCAGTTTCATTGCAATTTTCTACTTCTTATTTATGGGAATTAGACTTTTCAAACACTAAATAACATAAAAAATAAGAAGCAAGAAAGACTACGCCCAACTGAAGAAGAAATGAGGGTCTGCTTATCACACATTTGATCAAGCATTGAAGAAATCATGAAAAAACACCAGGCACAGGTTTCCCCACTAAATAAGCTGCACAAATATTTGAATAGAAACATTGAAGCAATGTATGTTCATATTTGTATGTGTATTTTTTTTAAATCTATGGTTTTATTTCATAATATTTAAATGAATACCCTATAAAAATTTTGCAAAGTGTGCGATGATATTTTCATTTGTTCCGAGGTGTGCTGTTACTTAAAAAGGTTGAGAAACACTTCTATAGAGGTAGGAAGACAATCTGTGCTTACTTTTGGTAAAAAACAAAACAATTACTAACCGTGTGATAAAAGGTTTCCCTGATGTTCGGTGATAGAAGACGGGAATCGGTAGACCCCATACTCTCTGTCGGGAGATGCACCAATAGGTTCTGGAATCCAGTTGAGAGAGCATCCCATTCTCAGACAAAGGAGGATATACAGTAACAGATCTCAAACATTCCTAGCAAGAGAGAAAATAGAACATTTTTTTTTCTTTTTGCTAAATGATATAACTTGATTCTTGCAATTATTTTCATGATGATAGCACAAAATATACACTTTCTAAGTCTATATTGTTACTTTTCCAAATATTGTTGATTCATTGGCCGATTCATTTTCTATGACTTATCAACCAGTTGCAGGTTATTTCAAACCAGGAAATATTTTTAGATTGTAATAATTTTTTTCCTTTTTTTTTTTGCTTCTTCTTCTTCTCCTTGGGAGGTAATGATTTAGTGATCCAAGTCTTAGTAATTATTCCATAACTGGAAAAAGAGGTGGATCAGAATTTGATAAACAACCAAGAAATTATGCGGATATAAAGTGAGGGATCAATTTTACATTACAATCAATATATAAAATGACCCTCATTTTGCGTCCAGAATAATTTCTATACATTTATATTCCAGAGAATGGAATGTAAATAAATCTAAAAGACATGACTGTGTACCGACCAGGCTTAACTTCATTGATTGATTAATTCATTCATTGATAACTTAACCCTTTTTGAGGTTATTTTAAGCCAGAAAATATTTTTAGATTGTAAGAATTTTTTTTGAGACAATAGTTTCATGATACACGTCTTACTATTTAACCCATAGATGGGGGAAGAAGAGGTGGATTCATGCCTTTCCCCTAGGGTATTTGCAAATAAGTGAATATAATATAAATAATATATATATTTATATAAATATATAATTATATAATATAAATAATTTGAATAAATAATAATTTTATAATATTTTAAATATAGATAATTTTATAATATTTTAAACTTAATACAGATTAAATTTAAAATTGGTAATTTTTAATTTTTGATTTTATAGTAAAATTTAATATCAGATTTTATGATGCAAGTTCATCTATCTTGACATGATCATAAACTTGGAAAGGGAGCCTATAATTTTACTGCCTATGATATACTGTTCCATCTCCCTACTGTTCATACTGGTTGACTATTTTTATGAAGGACTTGATCTGCAGCTCTGCCACCAGGTCCATCCAATGTAGTTCTACATTCATCACTAAAAATTACCTCTGAGAAATCTATTTTCATGTACATCTTACATGCTTCTCTTTGTGATGTTTACTTAAAGGTAGCAGTTTGGTTGCTTTCATGCCTTCAGCCAATCTTCTTAATATTCTCCCTCATTTCTGTTTACCTTTGTAACATTCAGCCTTTTCAAATATTTTTGTGCTGAGACAAGCAAAATAGAAAAGTATACTTATATACTTACAATGGCTTTGTTTTTCAGTACCTGTGTATTCACAAACCACTGTTTACTGGCACAAATTATCACAGGTTTCTGGGTCCGCCAGTCGTAGGGATAACTATGTTTATAATCTTCTACTTTTAGAACATGTTTTCCCAGTAAATCCAAAACTGTTAAAAAGATTGAAAGCATAATGACAAAAGTTTTTTTTAAATATCAGTTGTTGTCGAATGTATGTCACAAGCAGTTATTCTATGATAGGAATTGAGAAGCTCTAATTAATACTCTACAACAGAAATAAGAAGCAAACATGTAGAACAAAATATTACTGATCATTAATTCTAAGATGATGGAAAACATGGCGGTGAGCAAAAGGGGAAGTTCTAGATGTGACTTACACAATGGGGATGTCAACATTAAACAAGTGCAGAAATTCAAATATCTGAGCAGATGTAATAACAAACCATTGAAAGTGTGACATGGAAAATCAAAAGCACACTTGAAAAATGAAAGCCATTTTTCATAAACTGTGTAAGGTATTAATGGTAATGGTAATATTAGCTGTTTCCTTATAAGGAAACATTTAGTGACTGAGCAGCTACTATCAGTTAGAATTTCTAAAAATCTTTCTCCTAAAACAATCTTTCAGGAAAATAGGTTTCTCAAGTCCATTAGCTGTTATTGTTCTTCCCAGTATTGATGGTTTTTTTTTTCCTAACTTTTTATTTAAAGCAATGTAGAATGTTATCATCTTGATTATGTCATTATTTTCTCTTTGAGTTACATGTGATATCCATTTTAGCTGTTGCTGCTATTGAAAGTCCTCAAATGATGTGGTTTCTGTTATTTGCTATTGTTCTTAGTCATTCTGTAGTACCTGTCTGCAAGTGTGGTCTTCACCAAAATACATAGGTGGCATTTGCCCAAATCCATTTTTAACCATTGATCTGAGAAAGTGGTTGTACAGAACTGAGAATTTAGATATTTCCAATTGGGTTTGGTGCCATGAATAGCATTCATATAAAAGCCTCAATCTAAAGAGTTTATTTAAGGACATGACTTGAGTTTTCTAGCAAATGTTTTTGATTTTGTTAAGGGATCAAAAATAAGATTAGAAATGAATAAAAGATTGCTCGACTGCTGTGTAATGTCTACTTTTCTTATAGCAATGAAAGGTGGACAATTTCGTCACAAATGGTGGTGGGGGGGGGAAGATAAGAGGAAACTGATATATGTTTCTCCTGATATCAAGAATGCCATGAAAAAAAAAAGCAAGTAACAAATAAGAAAGTTCTAAAGCAAATAGAAACTACATAAAAACTTTTATAACAATCAGAAAGTGACAGCTGAAATTTTTTGAATACATAATGTGGAAAGAAGGCTTAGGAAATCTAATACTCACAGGCAAGAGAAATGAAGGAAATGAGCAAATAACCTACTTATGAATGGAGGAATAAATTGAGCGACTGGTTTTCTGCAGGTTGTTTAAAGCCAGAAAATATTTTTAGATTGTAAGAATTTTTTTGAAGGAAATTATTTAGTGATACAAATCTTACTAATTAACCCATAGCTGGTGGGAGAAGTGGATTCATACCTTTACCAAGGGTATTTGTGCATAATTGAATATAACAAACCCAACTGAAATTGGAACTTCTGAGCATTACCCACTGCACCACCTGCACATCCAAGCTTACAGCACCTGGAATTCCCAAGCAGTCATCTATCTAGGTACTGACCAGGCTCAAATTGCTTAACTTCGCTGATCGAACTGGAACCAGTATTTCAATGCCATAAGCCAAGCAGGAATAGATGCAACAAAGAGAAAGGTGTCATAAAGGAAATAGTATTGTTGAACACAACAAAATACAGGAAGCAGTGGAGAGTCATTATTATTAATGTTTTGAAGACATGACACATGGGGAAGTTAGAAAATAGAAATAATCATCATGGCCGTTTTTTTTCTTTTTACTAATGTTTATCCAATACAAGGCTCACAAGCCACTCAAGGTAGAGGGATACTAAAAGAGGTAAGTAATATAGATGTGAAAGTAGGAAGTTAAGATTATGAGGATATGAAGGATAGGTAATGACTGACCCTAGACTTGAAGAAGTTAAAATTTGTATTTGGAAAAACATCCATGCAAGTCTGTTCCACAAAGCAGTGGTTCTTGGAGGAGAAAGTTGTTTGAAGATTTTGGTGGTGTTACAGTAGAAGTTGAACTTTTAAACCATTATAATCATTTTTCAATTCTTTTTTTGCCTTGTTACAAATAGCATTCTGCCAAAATGATGTCTGACAGGAAAGTGTGTATGACGTAAATGTGCATCATTGAATTCTTCCATGCAAAAGAAATTGCTCTCATTGACATTCATTACTATTCGCTGAACTTGCTCATCACTGGTAAAAATTTATAGTCAATGATGGAAACCATGTGGAAAAATTGTTCTTTTCACTGGTGTAAATTGTGGGCTGGCATAATAGGAGGTATTACTTTCAGAGCAACCATCGTAGTTCAATCCAAGTATAAATCACCCACTTATTTAAATTATGTGCTATTGCCAAGAAAGTTCAAACTTTACAGCCATAACACCAATATTAAACTCTGATATTGTGGACCAATATCAAAAATTAGGAGGCATTACTTTTGGAGCAACCCTTATAGTTCAATTTACATTGACTCTTCCTGACAATAACTAATATTTGAGTAAGTGGCCGAATTATACTTAAAATGAACTATGCAGGTTACTCCGAAAGTAATGCCTCCTATTTCATTATGTTGGCTCACACTCAGAAACTATTAGTCATTGCCATACCACCAATATTGACCTCTTACATAGTACATTACCGACATAATAAATTAGGAAGCATTAATTTCGGATCACCCTTTATGGTGGTATAAGATGTATCTCTACAAGGAAACATTTGGCATTCATTGACCAAGAAGCCAGAACTTAAAACAATTATTCGGGTAAATAGGTTTCTCAAGTCCAGTAGCTGTTATCATTCTTTCCACTATTGATGGGGCTTTCCTTCCTCGCCTTTTGTTTGAAGTAGTGTGGAATGTCAGCATCTTGATTATTTCATTATTTTCTCTTCACATTACATGTGCTATTTAAGTTGTTGCATAATTCAATTTAAGTTGAACCTTCTTGGCAATAACTCATATTTGAGAAAGTGGCTGATTCATACTTAAATTAAACTAGGAGGGGTCGCTCCGAAAGTAATGCCTCCTATTTTATTATGTTGGCCCACAATCAGTCACTTACTCAAATATGAGTTATTGCTAGGAAGGTTCAAACATTATTGCCATACCACTGATACAGACTTAGGACAGTGTGGATCAACATAGGAGACATTAGTTTTGGAGTAACCTTGGAGATTCCATGTAGGTTAAGATGGCAAGATGCAGATGCATAATCACTTAGTTAGAATTGTTAGCATTCTGACTATGAGGCCCGAGTTTGTGGTCAATTTGACAAAGAGGTGACTTCTTGTTAGTATATGCTTGGACAAATGATCCCACCATGCACCATGGTTGGGAAGTTTTTGAAAACCATACCACAAGTCAACCATGTAAAACTGGGTGGACAAAACTATTTGGCAGCCGTTGTTGTTTATGCTAGCTCAAAGTCACAGGCCATCGTGACTGAGATTTTGAGGGTAGTGGGCTTCTTCAGCTACTGATCATGCTATATTATGCACTCTCTCCTAGGAACTGTAAACAAAGTTTGCCTGGCATAGTTACAATATCAACCATAGGTAGACTTTGTGGGTTTTGAAAGAATAGAAATGTACATAAGCAGGTATCTGCAATAAAGATTAGCTAACCACCCAAGCAGAAGGGTGCACCCAGAAACAGATAACCAGCTATTAAGGTGGTAAGACTGTTTTGTATCTTGCTACAGCTTCCTTAATCTCTAATTTTTTTAAAATCATTTCACTCCACGCAAGGTAATAAAAGCCACTAAGATGCAAGGGGGTTACTGAGTGTTAGAGAACATAAGAAAAATATACTATTAAGGAGAAAGGACAATAATAATAAAAAAAAAACAAACATTAAGTAGATGGGAGATAACAATTGACATTGCATTTAAATTTTTGAAGATCAGAGTTGACTGGAAAGCAAGAAGCCGGAAGAGAGTTCCACAAATGAGAAGTGCGATAGAAGAAACTGTTAGCATAGAATTTACAGTTATCTCTAGCCATTTCAACTGTAAAATGATGAGTCCTTGCTGCCAATCTAGTAATGAGCTTAAATTCATAAAGTCTAGGTACCATAGAGGAAAGTTCATCAGAACAGTTACGATGAAAATATTTATAAAAAAGATACATAGAAGCTACATTATGGCAGTGGAAAAGTGACTGAAAGTGAAATGCCAAATTAGAGCCAATAACATTGCTGATTCTTCTTTGGATTTTATCAAGAATCTCTAAATATATAACATGAGCATCAGACCAGATATAGCAGCAATATTCAAAGCAAGGATGAATGGTAAACCTATAAATATGAAAGATAGATTCTGGTGAGAAAAATTGTCTAGCTCAACACAGTAAACCAACTTTCTTAACTGCAGAATTCTTGTAATAAATCCATTTTTCATAATCAGTAGCTATATTGTCCAAAATAAGTTTTTAAGTATTAAAGAATGTTAGGTTTCCTAAGTTTGTATGGAAACCATTTATTTTAAACTCTTGAATTTTTCTTAAGACATAAACAACATAAGTAGAGCTAACTAATTTTAGAATCAATAAGATCTGAGTCAACTTACAAACAAAACAAAACACTTCTAAGATTTCTCTAACATTGTGAAGAAGACAGCACTGGGAACTTATGCATTTACAGAATATTTTAAAATGCTGTCACTTTAGAACATAGATGTTCACAGATCTCCATAGATTTCATTTATTATCTGTAAATTGCCATGACTTGGGAAAGATAGTGCTGTTGGTTGGTTGATTTGTTTTCTAAAGCTTATCAACATTTTGCAGGTTATTTAAAGCCAGAAAGTATTTTTAGATTGTAAGAAGTTTTTGAAGATAATGGTTTAGTGATACAAGGTTTACTAATTAACCTATATCTGGGGAGAAGAATTTATACCTTTCCCCAAGGATATTTGCATGTAAGTGAATATAATGAACCTCGCTCTCCAATTAACAATTCTGAGCCATTATCCATTACACCACCCACACATCCAAGCTTATGTAGTGTTGCAGCTCATCAGGTTTGTTCTCAGGGTGCAGATTATTCCAGTCGAACTACATGTGGTTTAAAAATAACCTTTCAGCCAGATTGTTACCCAGGAATTAAAACCTTGAGGATTTGTAGCAGATTTTATTCTCAGGTTTTAACCCAATGTTATATATGAGCAAAGCTGAGATAAGGTGCAGATGAAGGGTATAACAGGCATATTCTCATGCTGTTCTCTGTGGGTCCTCTTTGTATTTCTGACATTTTGCAGGCAGTGGTCATTGTCTTATAGTGAACATTGTCTTGTCATCTTTGTCAAAAAAAAAAAAATAATTTATCTTCATTCAGTGACCTCCTTTGTCTGAGCCACTTGCCATGTACTTGTAAAGACCAATTCATTTAATGATAACCCTCAGGAAAATAAATGTTTGAAGCCATTTTTGTGACAGGTCAGCTGTTTTCCATTTAATCAGATATCAGGTGATACTTATATTGCTACACTTACAACACCTAGTATCTGCAAGCGGTTACCCATCTAGGTTCTGACCAGGTTTGATGTTGCCTAACTTAGGTGATTGTATGGGAACCAGTGTTTTAATATAATGTGTCCGTAAGCCAAAGGAAAGATACTGGAGTGATTCATTGTCTTCCCCATAGTTCTGAAATCAGTGTTGCCCTTATTCTAGAGTGGCTGTCACCCAAGGCTAGAGAGCCCAGTCTACACTGCTATTTAACCCATACACAACCCACACATCCATAACCTAATGTTACATCCTTATAAATCCTAGAAAATGTGTTACATGTATAAATAAGTATGATACAATCAGACATTTACCTGCAGTATTTGCATCGACTCCAACTGTTTTCCCAGCCAGGTGGGGTCCTGCCTCAGGCAAGTAGGAACCATCTTCTCCAAGGAGACATTTCTACAAGATATAAGAGTAAGAACTGTATTTTGGTAAGCCCTTATGTAAAATAGAGAGGTGCATCTGCAGAAAAATAGCACATATGGACGGCACTGAAATTGCACCCTACCAATCTAAAAATTTGAGATGGTGACACACATTTTTAGATAACTTTACAGTAAATAGCAGCTCAAAAATTGTTCAAGTTTTGTGCAAGATGAAAAGGGAAAAAAAAGGAATAAAACAAAAAAGTTTGAATTCTTGTAAGATGTTTCATGGTGAACCAGTTTTTTTTTTCTTCTCCTTTAGTTAGACATTGAAACATGACAATTCTCTCTTTCTCCTGTCTGCCAGTCTCCATTCTTACCTTAATGCAAGTTGAAGGTCCTTCTGCCCACTGTAGCTTTTATATATATGTTCAGAATTTGCATGGATGTCTCTTGTTAGTTATATCAGGCATACCAGTCTGTGAATACACCTTTTCCAAATTGAAAATTGCATACTAAGTATGTGAAACATTGTAGCCTTTTCAATCCCGAGTATGTAACAAAAATTTAAGTCAAATTCTTTAACTCTGAATTTAAAAGTAGCCTGAAGAATGATGGGCTCTTGCCCTAGAGTTTGTTTTGTTTTGTTTGTTTAATGGCATATCAACTCCTTATGGGTCACTTAATGCCGAAATTTAATTTTCTTGGGAGCTTTGAATTAATAAAAATATGATGTGCATATACACATTTGTGGAGAACATAATTACTAGAGGTGGTGGTATGTGTGTTTTATGCTGTAATTTTGTTGAAGTTATATTTTTGAATACAGTTTGGTTTCTTTAAGAAATTGTAGGATATTATATCGATTAAAGTCTTGAAAGAGATCTTTCATGTTGGTTGCTTGGTTAGCAGCATATCAGCCTCTATGTGTTATTTAATGACAAAATGTAAATATTTTGAAAATAATTGCAAGTCTTCAATTAAAGATAAAATGTATTGCTGGTAACGTTACTATAAAAATATATTTTTATACTTTCATTGTATTTTGTTTTTGTTTAAAGGTTCACTATTTGCCCATAGCTGGGACCCAAACAGATGCTACCACCTTGGGTCAGGATGGGCCTGGGGATAACAGCAATTAAGAGGTGGTACCATGCTCCTCAAAACCTTTGATTTCTCAAATAGAGGTCTTGCTGTCAGATGTATTTCACCATCATACCGAGGACTAACTTGCCCCAAAGACACCCATTACTGCCAAATAATATTTGAAGAAAGTAAATATTGACGGTTACTAGAACTCTTATTTAATTCATACTAATACTTTATACTCAATAAGTATGACTTTAATTGCTGACAGTTTATTTCTTCTATGTGCCGTGCCCTCTTCAGGACATTGGTGATCATGTCTCTCTTGTTCTTTGTAGCTCTTAGTAAATTTTGTTTTTTGTTATCTCTGCTAATCCCTGTTCTGCCAACTATTTACATAAACTTGTTAGGTAGGTTATGCACTGTTTTCTTCTGTTCCTATTGCCGTCAGTATTTCATGTGAGGGTCAAATTTTCTAAGCCTTCTTTCCTCATTATGTAACCGAGAAATTTCAACTTATTCTTTCTGATTCTAAGTATGTGACCTTTTTTGTTTCTATTTTCTCTAAAACTTTTTTTGGTGCACACATGTTCAGTCCATGGTAATCTCAACATCGTTCTTTTTTGTGTCCCTTCAGGATATAAGCGATCACGGCTCTTCACAACTTCTTGTCTTTTGTAGCTCTTAGTAAAGTTTATTTTTCTGCCATCTCTTAATCCCTGTTCTGCCAACCATTTACACAAGCATATTAGACTGTTTATGCACTACTTTCCTCTGTCTCTTGTCCTGTGAGTGTCAAATTTTCTCAGCCTTCTTTCCTGCCCTACAAATTTCAACTCTTTCTGATGTCAAGTCTAACTGTCCTTTTTGTTTTCATTTTCTTTAAAATTTCATTGCTGATCATGTGTTCAGTCTGTGTTATTCTCAGCATCTTTCTGTAGAACCACATTTTTGTTGCTCCAATTCTCTTCATCTGTGAGGATGATTGTCCAGTATTCATTGTCATATAGGAGGAGCGATATTACATAACAGTTAAGTACTCTTTTCTTTGTCTCTAATAAAATTTTCCTGTTTCTTAATACTTTGCTTAGCTTTTGGATGGAAGCTTTCACTATCCCAATGCACAATTGTTGGGCTCTTCTTTTTACTGACAAAAAAATACTATGTGTTTCACTTCAGATCATGCAGAAATTTGCAGTTGGTGTTCTTTAGAGGGTTGTCAAAGTTGACTGGAGGTGACCTCCCTGCTGTAAGGTGTAGAATCACATGAATGGAGCAGTTGTACTTCAGATGATGGCAGGACAGAATTGCAAAGTCTGCTGCTAGGAAAAATGTTTCACTGTGATGTGCTAGACAATTTTTCTAACCAGAATCTATCTTGCATATTTATAAGTCTGCTATTCATCTGTGTATGGAATATTGCCGCCACATCTGGTCTGTTGCTTCTGCTATGTGTCTAGAGATCCTTGACAAAATCTAAAGAAGAATCTGCAATGTTATTGGTCCTGAACTGGCATTTTGTCTTCAGTCATCTTTTTACTCTCATAAAATAGCTTCTCTTTGCCTCTTCTATAAATATTTTCATGGCAATTGTTTTGATGAACTTTTCTCTTTGGTACCTTGGCTTCACAAATTTAAGCACAGTTGGCAGCTAGGTCTCATCATTCTACAATTGAAATGGCTAGATGTAACTGTAAGTTAACAGTTTATGCTAACAGTTTCTTCACTCACATTTCTTGCTTGTGGGACTCTTCTGGTTTCTGGCTTTCCAGTCAAATTTTATCTTTAAAAATTTAAATGTGATATGAATCGTCATCTTCCAGCTCCTTAATTCTCCATATATATACTTCTCATCTTAATGATTTTTTTTTTTTCACAGATTCATTCCCCCTTGGTAATCCCTTGTGTCTTAGAGGTTTTAACACCTTGTTTTAGGTGAAATGATAAAAAAAAATATGGTCACAGAATTAACAGGCAAATTTATGTTATTATTGTGATCATTATAGGGGGTTTCAATTAAAAAAGGAATTATCATGAAAATACAAGCTGGATGTTCTGATAAAATAGCTTTGTTTCATTATCTGTTTATATAATTATTTACACTATATTGTTCGGACTGTTGTCCTCATCTTCATTGCTACATTCGCAATGTTTTGGACATTTTTACTCTCCAGCCTTCTTCAGGATCTGTTTGTATTTCTGAGAGATTTACATTGTTCAAACTATTTGGCCTCATTGCAATATTCACATTTTTGCCAATCCTAAGGGATCTGTTTATATTTTTGAAATCACAATTATTTACACTATTTACATTGTTCAGACTGTTGGCCTCATCTTCGTTGCAATATTCACATTTGGCCATTTTATGCTTCCTCAGGGATCTGTTTATATTTTTGAAATCAGGTAATGCAATTATTTACACTATTTACATTGTTCAGACTGTTGGCCTCATCTTTCGTTTAATATTCACATTTTGGCCATTTATGCTTCCTCAGGATCTGTTTATATTTTTGAAATCAGGTAATGCAATTATTTACACTATTTACATTGTTCAGACTGTTGGCCTTATCAGGCAATATTCACATTTTGGCCATTTTTATTCCTCAGGATCTGTTTATATTTTTTGCCTTTACACTATTTCCATTGTTCAGACTGGCCTTATCTTCGTTTGCAATATTCACATTTTGGCCATTTTTTCCTCAGGATCTGTTTATATTTTGAAATCAGGTAATGCAATTATTTACACTATTTACATTGTTCAGACTGTTGGCCTCATCTTCGTTGCAATATTCACATTTGGCCATTTTATGCTTCCTCAGGATCTGTTTATATTTTTGAAATGGTAATGCAATTATTTACACTATTTACATTGTTCTTGTTGGCTTCATCTTCGTTGCAATATTCACATTTTGGCCATTTTATGCTTCCTCAGGATCTGTTTATATTTTTTGAAATCAGGTAATGCAATTATTTACACTATTTACATTGTTCAGACTGTTTGGCCTCATCTTCAGTTTTGCAATATTCACATTTTGGCCATTTTATGCTTCCTCAGGATCTGTTTATATTTTTTGAAATCAGGTAATGCAATTATTTACACTATTTACATTGTTCAGACTGTTGGGCAATATTCACATTTTGGCCATTTTATGCTTCCTCAGGATCTGTTTATATTTTTGAAATCAGGTAATGCAATTATTTACACTATTTACATTGTTCAGACTGTTGGCCTTATCTTCGTTGCAATATTCACATTTTGGCCATTTTATGCTTCCTCAGGATCTGTTTATATTTTTGAAATCAGGTAATGCAATTATTTACACTATTTACATTGTTCAGACTGTTGGCCTTATCTTCGTTGCAATATTCACATTTTGGCCATTTTATGCTTCCTCAGGATCTGTTTTATATTTTTGAAATCAGGTAATGCAATTATTTTACACTATTTACATTGTTCAGACTGTTGGCCTCATCTTCGATTTGCAATATTCACATTTTGGCCATTTTATGCTTCCTCAGGATCTGTTTATATTTTTGAAATCAGGTAATGCAATTATTTTTACACTATTTACATTGTTCAGACTGTTGGCCTCATCTTGTTGCAATATTCACATTTTGGCCATTTTATGCTTCCTCAGGATCTGTTTATATTTTTTGAAATCAGGTAATGCAATTATTTACACTATTTACATTTTCAGACTGTTGGCCTCATCTTCGTTGCAATATTCACATTTTGGCCATTTTATGCTTCCTCAGGATCTGTTTATATTTTGAAATCAGGTAATGCAATTATTTACACTATTTACATTGTTCAGACTGTTGGCCTCATCTTCGTTTAATATTCACATTTTGGCCATTTTATGCTTCCTCAGGATCTGTTTATATTTTTGAAATCAGGTAATGCAATTATTTTACACTATTTACATTGTTCAGACTGTTGGCCTCATC